TCCAGTCTACTAGAATCAGATACAACACTATCACAAAGATGTCCACTGGACACCAGTGAAATAATTAAGAGCTTGAAATTCTGTCTAGAGGGTAATTATTTTACATTTAAAGGGAGTTTATGTAGACAGACAAATGGTGTTGCTATGGGTTCACCAGTCTCCCGAATAGTCACCGACCTTTATATGAATAAATTCAAAAATAATATTTTTTCAAGCATACTCACTGCTAAAATAGATATGTGGATGATACTTTTGTAGTACTAAAACGAGATCTACACAATTCATTCCTGGAGAAAATAAATTGTGTATCTCCCAAAATCCAGTTCACTTCGAAAGCAGAATCAGACGTCGGTGAACTACCATTTCTAGACTGCCTAGTTAAGAGAAAGGAAAACGGACATTTTAGTATATCCATATTCAGGAAGAAAACTCACTCCAATAAATATTTGGACTTCAAATCATCACATCCCATCAGCGCAAAGATTTCAGTTGTTTCAAGTCTTCTTAGATGAGCACACTCTGTCATAACGAATGAGCAAGAAAAAGAAGAAGAAATATCAAACATTATTAAAACTGTCAAACAAAACAACTACCCAAGGAACTTTATCAACAAAATCAACACAGACATTAAGTATAGCCGAAAACGCATACAGAAAACATGGACATCAACAGTCGTCATTCCATATAGAGCGGAGACGTCAGACAATATCAGAAGAGTACCCAATTAGCTCGACATTAGAGTTCTTTTCAAAACATCAGACACACTACAAAGCAACTGTATCCATATAAAAGACAAAATCCCAAGGATTCTCAATCTAATTGTATCTGAAATAATAAAATGCTTGGAATTTGATGCGATATACATTGGACAGACATAGCGAGAAATCAAGACCAGAAGAAATGTACACCGTAGAGCACCTCTTCGACCACCAAGAAATCCAGCTGAACCAGAAAACTCGAAAAATCATCAGCCGTAGGTCTACACGCTATAGAATCAGGCCACAAAATTGATTTTGACAATATTGAAATTATTTAGAAGAATTTCAGATATCACAAACGACGTCTAATATCAGAAGCACTGCATATCAAGTGGAATTCAAATTGCCTGAATAGGACTGGGTTCTAGTCCCGGTGGGTGCGTACTGATGAAGAGCCACAGACTAGGCCGAAACAGCTGTCCAGTGCTCCGAGGTTTTCCAATGGTTCTCTAACTAATGTCAGCTCATGATGAAATCCTGTAAACCAATATTTGTAAGTCCGAGGTCAAATTTTGATCACAGCTAATACAATTTTGTTCATTATACTTTTTTGATACTCATGACTGGACAAAGTTTTTAAAAACAGGAGATGTTCCTTTTACATATAAACCTCTGATATGTTAGTTTTGAATAATTTCCCTGAAGAAGTTCGGACCAGATTGCTGAACGAAACGTTGTAATTACTTATTTCAATCTCACTGAGATTTTACAAATAAAATTTTTTACAAATACTTCCACAGAGTTCATTTTTAAACAAAACCAATCAGTCAATATATGCATACAGTAATTATATACATATATCTTTATTCCGGACAATAATCATCATACACAATGGAAACTTTCGGCATTACATAATCAGGTGAAAGTGAGGTGAAAATATTCAATTACCTAGGCAAAGAAAGACTGATAACCGTTTCTTTCTGAACTCATAAATCAGGTTTTAGCCGCTTGGTGGAGATGACTTCCACAAAATTTTGGAGAATTGAGCTCTTTTGTCTATTGATAATTTTGGACGACTTTTCGACATTCACGCGATGACCCGTTTCAAGAAGATGCCTGATGATGGATGGCACTGTTTGATGCATAGCCATTTTCGAACGCGCTCAGAAAGTCGTAGATATGCTCTTCTTTCTGTTCTTCCAATGTAACTGCCCCCACAGATACTTGTTAATTTGTATATACAGTTGGAGTTAACATAAGAAGGATATCTATCAATTTTTGATTGTGTCAAAGAAGAAGTTGTTCGAAGTTGACGGGAACGAGCTTGGCTGCAGGATAGGCTCTGGTTGGTGACGTACTCAGTCTTCTGTTGACCATTGCTGCAATCTTTTCACCTTTATAATAAAGTTGAATATAGATTTTCTTTTTCTCCACTGTGATTTGTCTGACATTTGAGACTTTTTACCTTTCGTACTTGTTAATGAATCTTTGAAGGTAACCATTGCTCTTCAGCGCCTTCTCAAGAAATACAAATTCTTCCTCTAATTTCTCTAAAGAGCATTATCTCCTAACTCTATAGTACAGAGTCCTGACTAGACCACGTTTAAAGCTATTTGGACAAAATCTGTTGAAATGTAAGTATTGTCTTTTCCAAGTAGGCTTTCGGTAAATTGACTTCTGAAGACTATCATTTTCTAGGCGTTGCATGACGATTTCGAGGAAGTGAAATTTTCCATCACTTTCATGTTCCATAGTAAATTCAATATTGGTATGTGCGAGACTGAAAAATCTGAGTAAGTGAGAGGCATGACTTTCATTGTTGCATACTACAAATGTGTCAGAGACATTTCGACAGTAGGAAGTTGTTTCGTCGACTGCATGCTTCAACTTTGTTCTTTCAAGGTGGGACATGAATATATCTGCTAAAACAGAGCTACATGAACTACCCATGGCTACACTATCTATTTGGCTAAATAGAACAGACTGCTGACGAAATCGAACTTCCAAAATACGCAAAAAATAAAATCAACAATGCACAACCACACAAAGTAAATATAAAACAGTTGAAAACCAATATTTAGTTATACAATGGCAAATATTCGGTAAGCTAACGTGAGATTAATTTCTGTAATTAGTTTTATAAGCACTTAGTTATAGTAAACAGAGGGGTACATATTGTTAATCGACTGGCGAACTCATTCTTTTCTGCACAAACAGTGATACCAAACGACTATAGTGTTTGAGAATTTTTAAAAATGGGATCATTACCATATATATATAAACCAAATTCAACATCTGACTCTATTAAAATATAGCAGTGTGCATTTACCTCAGGTTAGCTGAATATTTTCCTAAAATATGTCCTTCAAACGTTGTCAATACAACCTTTTTTTATTTAAATCTGCTATTATGAAATGTCTAAGAATTAGGTTATGTAGTACGAATTCAAAATATGATTCTCTATGAACATCAGTGAAACATTTTATGACAACTTGAATGAAATCAAAAACTGGTTAAAACTTGAAACTGTAATTCAAAATTTTCGGCATGTCAACATTATTTTATTAGCTTTTTTCCATATAATTAAGCTCATGAAAGGCATAAATTATTCTTGTTTTCACGTTAGAAAAAGGCAAGTAGAAATATGTCATTTTATTAATATTTTATTATTCATATGTTGGTTTGCAGGGATTTGATTGGTTTCAGGATTTCATCATGAACTGATATCGGTTAGAAAATCATTGGAAAACCTGTTGCGAGCACTGGACAGCTGTTTCGTCAGCTCACTTTGGGACTATTCAGCACCATGCATCCACCGGTGCTCAAACACAGCTCATAATGAAATCCTGAAACTAATCAATGAAATCCCTGCAAACCAACACTTGAACATCAACCTGATGCTCACTGGCGACTAGCCCTATTTCAGGTAGATAGTTAGTTACCTGGCGTCAAGTCAGAAGTTGTGACCAGTGGGATACAGCAGGTCAGGTGTGGGGACAATTACTCGCCAAAGATCACACTGTTTTGTGGTTACTCCATACCATTAATTAGCAGAAGTTGGAATTCACGGTCTGGCTATTGGATCGAATCCCAGTGGCTTAATGGTCTACTGTCTTACCTTATAACTTAAAATTTTCAGCATGGGTCGAACCCTGTTGGTGGTTGCTTACTGCTGGACTCCCAAAATAGGCTGACGAAACAGCAGCCTAGGACTCCCAGGTTTTCCAATGGTTCTCTAACTGATATCAGACAATGATAAAATCCTCCAATATTTTAAAAATTTCAACAGTAATATACATTTTCTTTTTTATAGCAAGTAAGGACCCTTTTTTGATTAATCTTACTCTGTTCATTTTCTTTCTTAAGTTTATTAGACATTCAATTAGATTTCACTCAGATATATTAGGCATCTTGTACTTTTCTGAAATCTAAAAAGTTGTCATGCTACTAATCTAAAGTTTAACTGGGTAATGTGAAAATGCTGACATCATCAAGAACAAATGCCACAGTTTCACATTAAGGTGAGGGATATGTTTCATTTAATAAATTCACCTAAGACAAGTAAGGTTCAGTAGCTTGAATATAACTGATCCAACTGACTGATGTGCTGTACAGTCAATAATCAAATGATTCATACTTGATGCGTACTCTGTTGCTCTTTAGGCTGATATTAGAAGCAACTAGCTTGGCTTTTAAATAGCACCTATGAGTAACCAATATTTGTAAATGTAATTTTAAATATGCCAGTGATTAATATATGGAGAAGATAGTCATATCATTCGTACTGAATAAATCTCTATTTTCAGAGGTTGCCTTCCTGGGATTCGATTGATTTCAGATTTGAGTATGAATTGACTTTAGTAATAGAACCATAGTATGTCAAGGAGTACTGTACAGTTGTCTCATCCTAGTTCAGGTTTCTTCAGCTCTACGAACCCATGACCCCACCAGTGATCTAACCAGAATCCTTCGGGTGATAAGGTGAACTTGTTTATCGTTCATCCACTGAGACAGAATCCAATGGTCTACCAATTCTAACTTCTGCTAATCAGCAGTATTACATTACCCCCAGCGAACCAAGGGTCATAGACGCTTACTGCTCAAGAGTCCCGAACGGAGACAACTTCATCAATAGCTCTAGTTGCTAGTGATACTAGATTTCTGCAGGTTAAAACAAGATCTTGGCTTCTCAAGCCGTCTTTCGTGTCTCCTTGGTGTGCAAACGGTAGTCAAGTGATCGATCAGATGGACATTGTTATGTAGCGTAGAAATCCGTTATAATACAGGTTTACAGGCATATATTTTAATCATTTTATATTTTAAAAATTCAAAATTATGTACAAAGCTGTTTAAGCATAATTAAAATAAATAATTAAAAAAAATTGAAACAGATACAGTGGAACACGTACGTTTAGGTAAATCAAAGTCATGTTTACGCAAATATTTCATTCGCTGTAGTGGTAAAATTAAATTGCAGTCTTCCAAATTGAGGTAGACAAAAAAATTATGCATTCTAGTACTTTCAGTTACTAACGAAATGAAATAGTTTGTTTTCTTTTTACAGCATTGGATTTAATTTTAACAAAGCTTTGTCCAAAAGCAGTTATATATGTTAAAGGTGATTAATGAAATTTCATGCCATCGTGTTGATACACACATGAAAGTGAAGAATGTAGAAACATCTTCGGAATGTGAAAGTATAATACTGCATTATACAGTGAAATGGTAACTATCCACTGGCAGTTGCACTTGAATTATGTGAAAACCTTATGGTGGGGATTCCGCTGCTGTTGAACAGATGATGGTCATAATATTCGCCATACAGCATCAGAGAGAGAGAGGGAGAAGACAAAAGAGGAAAAACGACTGTTTATTATGTACACAGTCTTAATAATAATAATAATAATAATAAATAGTCTTTGTTTTATAAATGTTCTCCTTACGTAACACTGGTCATTGTCAATATTATTGCTTCTTTAGATTTCCTCACAAAATACTAATTTTCTAATACAAAAGCCTAAGTTGGTACAGTTGTATAATAGTCGTACGCTGACATCAAAATCTTATGTTTAAGACTACTAAAATTGGAAGTCATTGTGAATACAATATTCTCGTTTTAAAACGTTGTTTTTATTATTTTTTTTGGTTATAGCTTGACTCCACACCGTTTTTTGATACAAGTCTGGAATTTTCAGCCTGTGATACCGGTAGCCCGAATTTAGCAGGCCAACCACTGATATCAGGTGTGCGCAAGCAAGGGATCGAACCTCAGATCACGTGCATGGTCGATAAGAGTCCTAACAGCTGTCCCACCGACGCGTAAACCCAGCTCCTCAACTGGGAATCGGACTCGAGCCATCCACGAGACAGGCAGAGATACTCACTACTATTTGAGCTCTGTTGAAAGAACAAAAAGCTTTGACGAACAAGTGAGAAAATTTCAAATAAGGATTTTGAAATTGATAGGTTACTATTTTCTCAAAAGTTTATTTAGTGATCCTACATATAGGCGACTATGAGTAGGACGAAACCGTTTTTTTAACTGAAAAGACTTCACATAATTTACCATCATTCTGTATTATCTACTGTCGTATCTTTGTTAAAATGCTAACTGAAAATCGATGGCAATCGTCAATGGTTTATAATGTGGTATTAATCACTAAGTAAAAGTTGTTTTTTTCTTAGTGGATACTAATTAAATATGAAACGTGAATTCTAAAATCTAAATCTGATGATGAACAGTCTTAGACAATTCGTTAACAAAGTGTATGAACTGCTTTTTAATATCGTCATTGCCTGGTAATTTTCGTATGAAATAGTTAAACATAGAAGCGTAGCACCTTGGATACACAAAATGTACTCGACGAAGTCTAGGCTTTATATCTACACTAATTGGTAATCAACCGAGATTGCACACCTCTAGGGATAAAGTTGCACGACTAAGATATAATAGTAAAATAGCAAAAAGAATTAAAAATTACTCAGCTCAGATGATTCACTTCTACTCCAGTTTTTGAATAATAAATGCTTATAAGGAAACTCTTTGTCATTTTAGTTAACTATTAAGCAAAATGATAATGATTTGGATAGGAGTACAATAAAAACTGAATTCGATGAAGTACATTCGGCTGTGAAATTCACGTGCAAATAAGAATATCAAAACAGAATCGCCTTCCAGAATGTCCTCCTTACAAAACAAAAAAACCAGATCGTAGCGTAAGGAAAAATTCACATAGAAAAAGTACATGGACAGGACAATATACACATTTCCACAGCTTCGTTCCTCTCTAGTAGAAAATAAATTTAGTAAAGATCCTCACTCGGCCACAGAGTTAGAGCTATATGCTCAGAAGAAGTAACTGAAGATGAATTTAAGCATTGTATGGGATACTGTGATCAAAAATAGCTATCCCACCAAATTTATTAAGAAACACATGACCGAGAAAGCGGAAAAGGACTACTCACTTTCTGGAAACAAATAGTCTCTTTATATGTGACTGAAATTCAAGGATGAAATACTTGATGAAATAATTACGAAGAGATTAGGACAATCAGTTCAAAGAACTTTTAATGCTGGAGAACTACACGTCTTATTCTCTACACGACCGATGGTGACTCCAAAACTGAAAGATGAAGTACCTTGACTGGCCACTTCTGTTTGTATCTACCAATTCAACTGCGCTTGTGTTAGAGCGAGTTATGTCTGCCGTTGTTCGGAAACATCTATTTGTGTGGTTAAATAAAGGTGTAGTTAAAAACATCATTAGCTCGATAATAAACCATCTGATACAAACTGCCCACAAGCAACCAGCTTTGAAGAATCCATCTCTATCATCTACCGTGTGCCAAATAAATTGCTAAAACTATCTAAGTACCGCATGCTGCAAACAAAAAAGGCTATTCCAATTCACATGAAACAACCAGTGCTCTGTGTTCAAAAGAAGCAAGTCCAGCCAGCTACTACTGCCCTGGCCGGCTTCAGTAGAGACTAGAAATTCATGAATTTGTAATATTATCTTTCCTAATTTTTCTAACATTCAGCTTATTTTATGTCGATGCTACTGAACTGTAATCTATTGATATTATTGATTCGATGTTATTTAAACAACATTAATGTTTATCATATACCTGGCTTTTTATTTGTTTGTGTCCATCACATGGATTTTCTTACGGTAAGTTAAATTCCACATTTATACTGTTGTTTTCCTATTTTATTTTTATAGATAAAATTATTAGTTGTCATAGAAATGATAGGTTTTATATTCAACAAACATGGTTAAATATTCTGAACTTACTCCTGTAGGAAATTCGAGTTTGCAAAGAACAGTAGGGTTGCTTTGAAAAATAAAACAAAAAACATACAAAAGCAAATCTCCTCATGTTATTATTATTTACTCTCCATCAAAATCTACATACTATTGACTGGTTGAGCTGAGAAGTTCAACCGAAAACGAGCGAAATGACCTACTGGTGTTCAGATCATTTAAATCTGACTAACCAGCGCTAGTGGTTTGTGTGAGTGGTGTGCACTTATTCATCTAAACCAATCAACAGTACATGTCTTTGTGTAATTACGCTTGCTATCTTGACTACAATTTATGATGCTCAACAGATCACATATTAAGCTGTGGACGGCTTCGGTTTCCAAAGGAAACTGTGGTGAAATTTCACTCAGAACTGTGTAAATTACAATTAATTTGTAAAAAATTGTCAATTTGATTCATTAATTTAATAATTCCCATTGTAGCATTATGAGTACAATATTCAGCGAAGAGACTCTCTTCAAAGAATTTATTCTCAGACAGTACAATCGTAAATATATATATATATATATATGTATATGTATATGTTTGTAAGAAATTATATCCGGTGAGGGAATTAGGTGAAAGGTGTAAATACATGAAATAATAATAGTATGAAATGCAATTAAAATATTTGTGACTATAATCTTAGATAAATATCAAGTGGCAAAATAATAAATGTCACATATAGAATAATGCATAAGGTGTATAGATTTTGGAATCTTATTCATGAACTTGGAATTCAAAGGTGATCAAGCTTCAGATATGCTCAAAAATCGTGTCTCTAAATCAGTCAGTAAGACGTTCTTTGCAGCAAAATTACATATGACGTTCACTAGCCGCAATTTGTTCTCTACCTCTGTAAAAGATAAGCTCCCTTGTCTGGCCGCTTCCATTTGCATCTATTAGTTCACCTGCTCTTGTGGAGCAAGGTACATTGGCCGTAGTCAGACGACGCTTTCCACACGCATATGAGAACATATTCCAGAATCGTTCCACAAAGGAGAAGCGAAGTGTGTGCAAAGCTCTATTCTACAACACCTGATCGACTTCTGTTACTCTGTCAACCCTGACCATTATTTTAAGATCATATACAGAATCCATGCTTACCTGCCGGGTTTTCTTCGTTATAGACTTCTAAAGATAGCTGAGGCCTTGGCACTTCATGACTTTAGGGCAGACTTTTGTGTACAAAAGAAGTATGTACAATCCCTACTTCTGCCTTGGCCGTAGAGGGATAGACATTTATTTATTTTGTTTATTTAGTTATTCTATGTACATTTCACTCTTTACTACGATTATTATGATTTCTATTATTATTCTCACTCCGAATTATTTCCGTTTGTCCCACTTGTCATTCTAAATCCAAAATTATTATTTTTTTCTTTTTACAGAATTTATCTTATCAAATTTCACACCATATTATGTAACATTTTATATTCGCCTACTAATCCCATAATTTTGCACCTCTTTCCAAAATCTATACACCTTATGCATTATTCTATATGTGACATTTATTATTTTGCCACTTGATATTTATCTAAGATTAAAGTCACAAATATTTTAATTGCATTTCATACTACTATTATTTCATGTATTTACACCTTTCACCTAATTCCCTCACCGGATATAATTTCTTACAAACATATACATATACATATATATATATTTACGATTGTACTGTTTGATAATAAATTCGTTGAAAAGAGTCTCTTCACTGAATATTGTGTTCTTAATTCGATTCATTCACTTCTTAGGTTTATGAAACATCTAATTCAACGATGAGTGCAATTGCAACTTCAGTCAACGTACAAAAATTTGGGTAGTTCAAAGGGATTGTCTTCTCTGAATCGAGTAAGTATCCAATAGAATTCTACAGGAGGTTATTCGCGATGGCGAAAATTTCAGTGGTAACATCTCTGACCGATACGGTTTCAAATCTCAGAAGGGACGTCAGTTCCATCATAGTTGCAGGTACACCATGATGACGAGTCCCGAGATGCATGAAACCTATGTTCAAGGCTTCCTAGCGATTGCTTTCAACCATTCGGTATCAAGAATTATCTGGCTTTCAGTGGGATTTCTCGCATTATGTTGTGAATATATTTATTTGCGTTTAGACCCATTTTCTTCACAGTTTAATCAACAATATCCAACTTTTAAAGACTTAAAATCTACTGTTAGAATCTCTGAGGAACTTCAGTAGTTTGCGATGAAAACCTTTTGATAGTTATAGGAGGTCAGGGTTCTGAAAAATATTCCTTTGTTTTTGTATACCTACAGTTTTCATGAATTTATCCCCAACTCAATATTTTATAAGGCTGAGGGGTGAGTCATCTAAACACAACTAAAAGAAAAATTATTCGAAAATGTCCCGTTATCTTTGAAATATACTTTGATAATTATGCTCTCCAGACAATTTTTGTCCTCTTTTTAAACTTGCTCAGACGTCATTATCATCTGTCGTAGAGACGTTTTTTAAACTAAAATTAAGTTTGCTTAACTTCTGAATGGCACACAAGACAGCTGTGCCTTTGATTTATGGGACAAATAGGAACCATTCATGTTTTGATTGTAAACTTTTTTATTCCTTCACGTTCCCAGTGGAACATAGGGCTTCATACTAGAGCATTGAATTCTCGATGGCAGTGGTATTTCTTTTAATGGATGGGGTTGATAGCCTCATACTCAACCTCGCCTCTTTACCAGTCTTATTTTCGGCTTAACGGTGTAAAGAAGTGCGTCAGCCGAGGATCGAACATTGGGTCTTGATTTTGATTTTCAATTGCTGAGTTGAGCTTACTAGTAAGACTCCAAATCTACTAAATTAAGTCGTTTCATCTGTTTTATGATTTTACTTCACTGTTCATCCTCACTTTCTTCAACTCTCCATCATAATAGGTATAAATTTACTCTGTTGTTCGAACCCCAATGGATGCGTACTGCCGATGATTCCCAAAATAGGATGAAACAGTAGCTGTCCAGTACTCCCTGGTTTTCAGTGTTTCTCTAGCTGATATCAATCAGTGATCAACTCGTAAAAACAAAACTAACCCTCACAAACCAAACTATAGAAAATATCTTCTATTTTGTTCCTAGTCCATCTTTGTTTTGAAGCGAAACATGAACTTCATTTCCATTTCGAGTTACTCTTTTAACACTAAATAATTGTCTACTTACATCATCTCTGAAATCGTATTACCCATGCTTTGTATCTATAACTTGAAGTCATTGTAAAAAGTGTGTTGAGCAATTTCGTAGAAAGTGATTTATTTAGGATGCACGCAAATGAATAGAATTCACGAAATAAAACGACCTCGTATCATCCTACAAACATGTTTGTTCTTTCCTTATTGAAATTAATAAATATAACCGAATGTATTGAGATTGAAATTCACCAACCCACCACTTCCAAATGTCATGTGTAACAATCTTTGACAACAGAACTTACGGATTTTTCTTTTGTTTTTTAAGTAAATATGTATATATGCACATTTAGGGTAAGTTTTCCAGCACTACAGTACCTGGATAATTACCCCTAAATTCTGAATAGCAACTTTAATTATCAATTAATTTTTCAGAGAATACTTTTCCGAATAATTTTCAAATAAAACTTCTATACATATTAAAGTCAGAGTGTGTCGATGGTACATCGGTTGGCAAACTAACCAGTCATGCACATGGTCCGGGGTTCAATCCCTGGACGACTCACTCCTTTGCCTTGATAATCCAGTGATAAAAAAGCTGGTAAAAGGCAAGAGGTTCGTCATGTGGGTAGGAACCCCATCCTGGAAAAATAACCACCATTGCTACAGAAATTTCAAGCTGGCTCTAGCTTGAAGCCGTGTGTACCACTGGGAACGTAAAGGAAAACAATATAATTACAGTCAGAATGAATCACAGAATGTCAGTGAATAATTTTCACTCAGTTAAAATCAATAAAAAGCCTCGAAGTTAAAAAGGACCTACCATATCTATAAATTGAATGTTTGTTCGTAGGGAACGGCTGTTTAGACTCTGAATAGTTCGATAATTATCAGCCATGCTGCCTGATTCTCGAAATGGTCCAATTCTCAATTTCCGTAAAGATTTTAGCTGTAGTAGTAGTAGTAGTAAATAATTCAAAAATCATAGTAAGTCTCATTCGCGTGTATAAATAATAATTTATGCATCAAACCTATGAGTAGCAGGGGAACTACAGATGACGAAAAGAAACACTTTTTTGAGATCTGTACTATTATTATAACTACACGCGAATCCATCATCACTGATTGATCTGTCCACACTATCTGAATTACGCGTCGAGCATTTCGCTGTGTCTAGTTACAAACAATTTTCCAGTAAATCTACAGTATTCTTTAATTTTGAATTTTTGTATCGAACAAAACTTGTCTTAAGCTATAGAAGTTACAAAAGGATGCATTGTTGGAAGGATAGAAAAGAAAATGTAAGTTAAGGACTTTGGGTTTCTAATAATAACTTGAAATTCAATATAATAATACTGAAAACTGAAAGGCAGGAGATAGTCGTTTTCCATTAGTTCTAAGCCTTTTACAGTCTGCCGCCCTTTGCTTTAACTGATCACTAGGTTGCATGCCTAGTCTATCCACTTTTGTCTACTTTTTTGTCCAAAAACAAATGTGCTCCAGACTCTGTATTTTCTCCAAACGTAACTGCTTTTTTTTCATCAAAACCATAACTTTAAATTTTTTTTGTCTTTCCCATATTGGCTGATATTTCATACAATAATGCAATGATAGTATAATAGGTGTCATTTTTAAAAAAAAAAATAACAGTTTATTCAATAGTGAACGCAAAACTTTTCAATATCAGTAACGTGAACGCTAATTTGTTTCGGTTTTTCTTCAGTTTCTTAGTCTTTTTAAAAGAAAGTGCAAGCGTCACCGATATCCACCTTGGATACTCCAAAGGTAATAAAACTACATTTTACATATTTATCATAAAATAAGTCTCTGTACATGATGATATGAGATAATTAAAGACAGTTGGCCACAGGGAGCCTTGCTTGATCTAGATTTCGTGATAGTTGGATATCACTCGTCAGCAAGGCGTATTTGCAACCTTGAAGGAACTCCTATCCCTATCTGAGATTCAAATCCGCATCACCCAGTGGAGCTGCAGTCAGAGACATCACCACTGAGCTATTCAGGCTTGCAATTGACCTGTTGTAGACTAAATATTTTTGGATACTTAATAAGGTAAAATACCTGGCGAAACCAAACAGTATCATGTTAGCAATATACAATTTACATTTCAGACTGTTTTTTCCAAAGTAGTGAATCCGATAACATTTTCTAACACTGATGGAGAATTTATCCTCAGAGGGGAATTTGGACTGATATTACCGGAAATCATCGGAAAAATTATTTTCCAAAAAACTAGCTACCGTGTGCTCTTTTCAAATGTCTGGTTGCATAAATATATTTTAATCAAAGATAAGATTTTATTTTCATAAATTACACAGTGTTTTACAGTAATATTAACTAATGATGTTTCGAGCACAAGTTATTGCTCATAATCATATCAAGTTACTCATACAAAGTAAAAATAATGGTGAAACTAATAATGACAACATAAATAAGAGAAAATATAAGGCGTCTACGGTTATACCATATAAGGAGGGGACATCTGAGGTCCTACGTAGGATTCGCAACGATGCAGGAATTAGGATGGCATTCAAACCTACAAACTCACTCAGAGACAAGCTTTGTCGGCTAGAAGACCCGGTGGACCCAATTAAACAAAATAATATAGTTTACAAAATACTTTGCAGTGACTGTGAGTTAAATTGATTGCATCAGTCACATTAGTAGATAAAGACTAGTCAGATTATCAGAACATAAGAATTTAGATAAGGTAAGAATGACTGACCCCGAGAAGATAAGTAATTTAGAGAAAAACTCAGTAATCGCACTGCATGCATTAACACACACACCACACATTAGGGTGGGTGAGAAGGAGTTGAAACTCTAAAAAGTAATGTAAGCAGGTGGAGAGAGACAGAGGTTGATTACTGAATCCTGGCTGATTCACCGAGTGAATCTACACCCAACACAACACATGCAAATACCAGAGATATGGAAGATATTATTACCACCAGTCAAATCATAGGGGGACAATAAATGATCTTAAATTTCTATTTCAATTCACATACATTATAACATCCTAACAAGTTACTTAATTTTACCTTAAAAAACATCCTATTCCCCATCTGATTGTATTTGATTGATAACACTCATATTATTATTTCTGAATGCACATTATCATGTATTGATTTTTATTCAAATGTCTGATCAGTTTTGTGTGAGTGACTTGATATGATTATGAGTGGCAATAAACTGTGCTCAAAACGTGGTCATCAGTTAGAATTACTGTATAACACTGTGTAATTTATCAAAATAAAATCTTATTCATAATGGAGTTATACTCTGCCATATTACCCAAGTTTTTTACTTATATCAATAAATATATTTTGCTGTGAATGATATCCTATTGTTTTAACCAAACTAATTATTATCAACTTAGCAACATAAAGCCAATTACAAAGTATAGCAAAACATCTCTAGAGAGAATAGCAAGTCATTGTTATGATAAACAAGATAAACAGTGTTTTCATGAATATGTAAATCCTGGCTTACTTGTTCTTCTGTGATTAAAATAGGATGATTTAATAAAATCCATGTAACGGTTTCATGACATGCAGGAAAAGGTAAAGAACCTTGATAAGTTATATACTGAAAAGCTGATGGTAGGATTGAGTTCAGCAGCAAACCATGCAGTCTTTTGAACTGACCTTCCAAATTAAATACAATTATATAAATTTAAGTCACATTTTGTATAATCTTTAAAATTATAAAAAGTAGTTGAATACAATTGTAATTTTTATTTTGGATTCATGACACATTTTTGGTAAATTAGGAAACCAATACAATTGTCCAACAGTCTACCATAAAATCCAGTTGGCATATGGAAATTCAAACATTGAATATCGTCTACTCTTATCGTTCATACGGATATATATCACTATTATTGTTCCTTAGGGTTCCGACTTCAATATAGGACTAAGTAAGACATCTCCGTTTTGTTCTATTTTCTTCTGTCCTCCTCAGCTGCGTCTACGATTGCCCATAATCACTCATCTTTCCAAAGCATGATATTCTCCATGTCACCCTCTAACCAACGACCCGCATATCTTTTCTAACTTGGTTCCCAACCGAGCTATGGCCATGGGCACGATGTCATTCGATATTCCTCTTAGCATATGTCCAATCCATCTTTATTTTCTTTTGCATATTTGTTGAGCGATCGACTCTTCGTCGGTTTGTTGCCAGAGTTTCTTCCCAGTCTTCCATTTGATCTTCAAAATGGAGGCAGCCATCCAAGGTGACAGCTGTTGTTAAGCGTCGACCGCCTGTTGGAAATGCTTTTCATGACGTGCCAGCCAAGTTTCTGACCCATAAACAAGAAGTGACTGACTTGACATTCATGTTGAAAATCTGAATCTTATTGTCGATGCTGAGTGCAGAAGATTTTCAAACTGATCTCAGATTTATGAAGGTGTCTCCTGCCTTTCCGATTCCGGTCTGCTTTGACATCTTCATCCGTTCAGACTGCCTATAGTTGAAACGATGCTTTGTAGCCAGACAAATAAAGGAAGTAATCCCAGTCAAATTCCCCCACCCAGGTGATGATGACTGATGCTGGTTGTTGCTTCTGTTGCTCTCTTCATCACCCCGTATTCTCTATGTTCACTTGGAGTCATGTCTTCGCTGCATGTCACTTCTGCCAGTTTGCCGGTCCTTGCCTGTAAGTCTCTTAGTTTGTGTAACACTCGACTTAAATCATCCACTCGTGAAATCCAGATCTTCTTGAGTATTCTTATCGGTCCGGAGAATTCTTGTCTTCTCACTTTCAACGTACAGTCTGACGCATAATCCAGTCCACTGAAATAAGCAGTAGGGTACTACATGATAGTAGTCAGCCTTGTCTAAATCTTGCATTCATTTCAAAAGCATCGTCATATAGCTGTTGGATGAGGTCGACAAAGATTTTGGCACTGAACGCCACAATGTTAGAGTAGTTTCCAAATTACTTCACAGTACAGTTTTGACTGCCATTCTATGCTTTGTTCAATGATGATGCTTGGAGCTTCAGGTTGATTAGCACAGGACTCGCCTCTTCTGAAACCAGCTTGTTCCGATTGGACGGAGTTCTGCATCCAGTGGACCTTTTATTCTCTCCACTATGATGCAACATAATACTTTACTTGGCGTAGAGAAGGGCATTTTTTGACGCCAGTCCTTGCACAGGCCTAAAATGACCTTCTTTGGCAGTTTGACGAGGTAGCCCTCTTCTACTAGGTGGCTACTTTCCATTCTTTCTAAACACTTTGTAATAATGGTGAGAGCACATTTGTGGCAGTCTCTGGGTCCGTTTTCAGTGCTTCAGGAGGAATGCCATCTGGTCCTGCTGCCTTTTTGGACTTCAGTAGCTTGATCGTAATCAGAATTTTCGCTTTCGTTGGAGGAGTGGTATCCACTGGCAATTATTCTGTCGGTGATGTTTCTGGGCGTGTTGTAGGTGATGGTCGACTCAAGAGTCCTTTAAGGTGATCCTCCCATTGTTTTATTTGTTTCTCCTCCTTGGTAATCAGGTTCCCATGAACATCTAGTGGTTTCATCATCTAAGTTGATCCCTTCCCGGATAGAGTCTTGCTTATCTGATATATTATTCTGATGTCTCTTTTGCCTGCGATTTGGTCTGCTCCAGCTGCCAGTCACTGTTCGTAGGGTTGTCTATTGCCTTTCCTGGCAGTGTTCTTATATTTTTATATTTATATTTTTTTATATTTTTGATTACAGCTTGATTCCACACTGTATTTTTGGTACAAGTATGGAATTTTCAGCATGGATATCGGTAGCCCAAATTTTGCAGACCGACCATAGATATCAGGTGTGCGTCGGCAAGGGATCGAACCTCGTACCATGTGCATGGTCGGCGAGAGTCCTTACCACTGTGCCACCGATGCACTTCACTTCTTAACTCAGTTTAGTATACATTGAAATCAACTTCTCCTTCAGTTATCCTTGCTTTGCACTGAGTGATCTTCTCTTTCACCATTCTCCTCTCTTCTATTAGCTTCCAGGTATCCGTTGACAGACATTCCTTATCTTGTCTCTTCTGTCTCCCTAGAAAGGTTGTACAGGTTTCCATAAGCATCATCTTTACAGAGTGCCAATGCTCTTCTACGCACATTCACTCGTTTAGACCACACAGTGTCTCTGACTTTGCTCTGATAGCTCCAGTAAAGATATCTTTTATAGTTGAGTCCTTAAGTTTCTGAGTGTCGAACTTGAATTCTGGTCTGCCTTCAGCTGTCCTGAAGGATTTCAGCCTCACCTTGAAGGTTCCTTGAACTAGACAGTGGTCTGAACCCACATTATGGTCAGCAGAATTAAAAAATAAAACTAGTTGCATAAACACAATTCTACTACTTAAGATAACCCTATAATAGTTTTTTAGTAAGAAGCTACTGATATCTACACCAGAAAAATCCTTAACTTCGACAGAAAATCAGTCCTTATTTATCTCCGAAATTTGATAAATTTTTAAGCAGCTTAATCAACAATATAAACTCATTCACCTCGAAATACTTGACTATTTATATGCTGTTAGAGAAATGCAGGATATAAATTCACACAGATGACGCTTATGAGAAGACCAAACTTCCTGAGTATATGCATCTAATAAATCTTTATAAATTGTAAAATAGACAGTTTTTTATGTAGTGTGAAGCTGTGTTTAGCCGGATTTGCATACAGTCCTCATATTTCTTAAAAAAAAGGAGACAGTCGAAAATGAGAACATTTTAAAATTTTCAGCACTTCTAAAAATATGCATGTCATTACTCATGAATGTGCTCAAAAGTTTATATGTTTCAAAAACGATTCGGATGTATTTGAAATAAGCAATACCATTTTCTGTGTGATGGCTGACTCCTCTGTATCTTATTTTGCATAATAAAAAGTATTATATGGCTGCTGTCACTACTACACAAGAGTAAAAAGCAACAGAAACTTAATGCAAATCTGTTTACTACTGAGTACTTGTCTACCGTAAAAAGTATATTTCGCATGCAAAATTTCGATTAGGTAGATAAGCAATGATAAACCGATATTTAGGCAAAAATACGATACACAAAGGTCCCGTGAGTAAGTCACTGTCTAGACGGCCACAAGACGTTCTCGTAGTATGCTTGTCAAAATGGGGAAATTTGACATACCAATAGTTCAACTCTTGAGCATAGTGCTCTTGCAAATCACTCCAAATCAATAGAAAAAGCTTTCAAACCGATGTATAAGATAAGGTCAAGTCTTTCGAAGGGTTTCCTGCTATATCATCTGCCCACAGTAGAAACTGTCGCTATATACAAGGAAAATTATGAAGTCTGTATGCAGAAGCGTTTCATCCAATCCCTTTTACTACGGTGACATCCAACTTTCTTTAACTCACACCAAAACTTTGGTATATAATCTATACTCATTCGAATTTCTTCTTCGTCTAAATGTCTTCCTTTCAAACTTCTAACTTCAAAATATGTACTTTAGAAGTAGTCTGAATCTTCTGCTTTTTTGAACATTGTTCTTGTTTCCACAGGCTTGTGTTTTTAGTTTTTAATGTTTGTCATTTCTCAGCAATGCTCATAATTGCCAGTTTCTTTTAAATTACGTAATTAATCACCTTCTTTGAAAAATAAATTCACATGTTTCGTTACCAACTGTTATGAATAATTGACCTTATCGACAATTCCTTGGTCTTTTACAACACTGTTTTGAAAAGAGGCTTGTGAAAAGAATATTTTTTGCATACCTGGATCTTTCTACTCTATGTCACTTGGGTATTTTTCATATTTAAAAAATGGTATATTCAAACACGCGGAGGAAAAGTTACCTTGTAAAACTATCAGAGAAGGGTGACTTACACCTCACTCTACAAGAACTGGCAAGGAATCATGCTCCTGTCGGTGCCAAGTAAAATCCTGAGTCGCATCATCCTGGAGAGAATAAAGGACGCACTGGATACAGAACTCCGTCTCCCACTGGAACAAGCTGGATTCAGGTAAGGCAAATCACGTTCTGACCAAATTGCAACTCTACGCATCATTATCACAAAACAAAGCGTGGAGTGGCAATCAAACCTCTACCTCAACTTTAAAGACTTTGAGAAGGCCTTCGACAGCGTTGACCGCGAAGTAATTTGGAAACTACTCGAGTACTACGGCGTATAGTGCCCAAAATATTCATCAACCTTATTCAACAGCTGTATGACAACGGCACATGTCAAGTGATTCACAACGGAAAACTCAGCGAGGCGTTTGGAGTAAACGCAGGAGTCAGACAAGGGTGCTTACTATCACCAATGAATGATATTCCTAATTGTGGTGGACTGACTGGATTATGCGTCAGGCAGTGGGAAACGAGAAGACAGGGATATCCTGGACCGACCGACGTGAAGAACCTAGAAGATCTGGATTTCGCGCGTGGATGATTTATGTTTGAAGTCACACAAAATCGAAAACTTACAAGCGAAAAACGACCGATAACCTGGTCGAAGAAGCAACCAGTGAAGACAAAACCCCAGGTGAACATAGACAAGATGGAGGTTATGAAAATAACCAAACACCATCACCAACAAAAGCAACAGTAGCAACATCCAACGCCAATCATCATCAACGGGAGGGGTCTGAAAGAGGTTAGTTCATTCACTTACTTATCTAGGAAGCATTGTGTCAACTACAGGTGGAACGGACGAGGATATAAAATCGAGCGAGAATCGGGAAGGCAAGAAACACATTCATCAATCTGAATCAATCTGAAAATCTTCATCACTCAAACAACAAAATTCAGTCAGATTTTCAATACAAACGTCAAGTCATTCGGTTCTTCTATACGGGTCAGAAACTTGGCGCGTGGGTCACAAAGAATATTTCCAACAGCCTGTTGGAGACCTATATCAACCAACAACTGTCTTCGCTGGATCTATACTGAAGATCAGATGGCCGGGCCAGAAAGAATCACCAACAAGAAACTATGGGAACAAACAAAGCAAGAACCAACCGCCAACCAACGAATATGCAGGAGATGGAGTGGAGATGGATTGGACACTCGTGGCTGAGGAGGCCACCACTGGGTGACATCACGATCTCGTCAGGCCATTGCTCGAGTGGAACCAGGCCGAAAGGGAAGCGGTGAGTGGGATGTCAGGGCAAGTCTGAAATGAAGGAGATTGTGTGAAGAGGAGTTGAAAGAGTATGGACTAACATGGATGCAGGTGAAAAGTACAGCAGAAGACAGAAGCAAGTGGAGACGTGCAGTTGAATCCCTATGTTCTACTAGGAACCCAAGGAACAATAATAATATTATTCAAACACAGTTCTGAAAAATGCATTACATTAGAATCCAGAGGAATGAGAAGTAGATATATGGCCTTCAGACCCTTTTGGAAGAAACTATTCTTCCGCAGTTTCCCTTAATGATTTTTCACCGGATAAATTCATGTACAGCAAAACTTTTGGAAGCTTATTTCTTCAAAATAATCACATTTTTTTAGGAAACAGCATAAAAGTCTTTAAAACTGTTGGCTACTTAAAAGGTGATAATCAAAACTTTGAGTGGAATTTGACAGTGAGATTTAACAGCTATATAGGTTCAACACATGATCTCACATTATGATCAGTTTTGGTGATGTTTTTGGTCAATAAGTGTATCAGTAACTTATCAGTTCACATATTTGTTAGATTCCACTTATACATGTTTACACAATTCTTGTCTTGCAGAAAACACTCCTTTATGCTCTAATATTTAGGATTACGTCGTTACATGTTAAAACAAATAAATAATAAACTTTTGAAAAAGGTAATGTAACTATATATGAGGTTAAAGAAATCAGAATCAATTCTTTACACAAACACTATCATATGTAGATACCATAGAGTTCTATCGTAGTCAAATAGTAATTTACCTTTAAGCTGAACATGTTCTATTGTGGATAATAAAGCTGCCATACCAGCTGTTGACCGATCACCGATCTAAAAGGTTTCATACAAATAAAGATATGAAATATAACAAACAGTTTTAATCTTGCTCTTAAAGTAGCTTATTACAGTGGTATTTTAACGAATAAAATCCTCAAGAGTTGGTTTGTAAGGATTAGATTTGTTTTTTAAGAGTTTGACCACGGATTAATATCAGTTAGATAACGACTGAAAACTGGCACGGAGTACTGGACAGCTGTTTCATCCAAATTTGAAAATCATTGGCTGTACGCATCCACCACAGTGGGTTCGAACCCAGAACCTTCCGGTTACAAGCAAGTAAGCTTGTATACCATTCGACCATTGAGATCCGCCCGATTCGAGTTCTGATTAAAAAAGCAAGAATGATTTGTAGACTAGGTAGAGAACGGAAGCTGTATGGTATTCTTAAAGGTTCTAAATCTGTTTGTGGGTTTTCATCACTAGGCTTTTTAGCATCGTCATCAGCATTATAAAATTATGGATAACGCTGAAAGATTAGGGTTACCTTCACGAATGGAATGACAACGTGATGACAGTTATTTGGCTTTAACACGACAATATATGCATTATATTTCCAGAGACTAAGTCATCCAGGTGGATCTAGTTTATTAATTTCATTTAACTATATCAACAAATAAGAAAAGACTGTGCAATTTTTGCTTTGTGTGAATAAGCATACACTGTATTTTGTGTAGAACTGAGAAATTTCAGAATATAATCACATCACCCATTGCAGTTTTTCTCTATAACCGTTAAGTAACCCTGTCACTTACGAAGGATACTAAACACATTGTAGTTATTAACCACAAGGCTTCACGGAATACAAGACACTATGCGATGAAGTCATATAAGTCAGGTTGAAATAGGCTCATCCAGCTTGAAGTTGTCATTATGGGTTTAGGGGGTCATAAAGAATCGGTACGAAAAGCTGACACTTTTAGTGATACTAATAGAGTAGGATACAAACTACATTCTCCAAGATAAATGTATGTTCGCTGTTTCACCTCTCATTCACCTCAGATCATCTAAGATAACTTGACATTTCTTAAAACTATCTATGAAGTCTGAACTTACAAAAGTTTTGTTGTTATTTTCACCTTTCAATTTCTCCCATCTGTACATAACCATCTGGTTAGTACCAAAAGAGATGAATGAGTCAAGTTTAACACAAACCAGAAACTGGTTGGTGAAGAAGAAAGACTCTTTTTAATAACTGCTTCAGGTCTTACTGCTAAGTGTATATATTAGGACCAGATTGCCTCAAAATGACCATGCTGGATTGTTTTCATGAATATGAATGCAGTAGATACAACTGTAGAAGTTTTTTCATAAGCTGGTAAGTGCTAAACACTGGTAACCACAAAACCTGATGGATACATAGCAGTATTCCTCAATGATGGTAGTTTTAATGTGGAACAGGCTTATGATATTAACAGAAACTGGAAGATCGAAAGGTAACACCCAATAAAATGGAGGATGGGACGCTCAAACTCAACGATACATACGCATCAGGTGATGCCTTACCTAACGTTCAGAAACCTGAAGTGCTTATTAGACCAATTCTTGAAAGCCTGAATTTACTTTCCGATGCTACAGTTAAGTGGTTTGCAAATATTCTCAAATCTCAACATGAATAGGTAGGGAAACATTGAAAGGAATTGTTCTGAACTATCTGGGACTGTTGAAGCAAAAGAGACAATCCAAGCCACTTTTGATACTCTATTGGCCCTGAAAAATCTATGGATTCCCAACCGCTACATTAAGTCATAGTTTTTAGGTGTTATGCCTCATCTCGTATATATGCATCCCTCCCTCTCCTTAATTTTTTTCAACAAACTCCTTTTTTTATTACAGCTTGACTCCACACCGTATTTTTGGTACAGGTATAGAATTTTCAGCATGTGATATCGGTAGCCCAAATTTTGTTGGCGGACCATGGATATCAGGCGTACGTCGGCAGGGGATCGAACCTCGGGCCATGTGCATGGTCGGCGAGAATCCTAACCACTGTGCCACCGACCCATCCACCTTTCAAAATAGAATAATACACGTAGGCGAACAAGCAAGCAACATTGTGTTAACCTCAATGTATCATGAGGTGCCAGCTTATCAATACAAACCGAGTATTTCGGTCACATTTAGTCACTATAACGGGGATAAAAAATATCAACCAAAAAAAATTGAACTAGATTCAATTAAATTCTTCCAACTTTACTGTTGAATACGTAAAGTTACAAATAAATAATAAAATATAAGCCAATCGTAATTACTTACTAATAAGATGATAAATAAAATAGGATATAAGATGTGCAATTAATAATAATAATAACATTAGAAATAACGATGAAAAATGAAGCGATTTGTGGAGATAATGATAGAAATGAAAACGTTGACTATAGAACAGGTTTTGATTAAGGCATAGAAAACAAATAATGATTGGATGAAGTAATGCTTAATTCTAAGAAAAGTGGATAAACTAAATTTTAATGTTGATTCAGTAAAACTAAGGATGAGTTGGCAAAAACTGGAGGGAAAATAGCCAAAAATACGTATAGGGTAGTGAGAGTATAATGCGTTGGTTAGGTCTTTACTGGCCAGTGAAAGGATAATGGCTATAAGAACTTCTTTTCAATGCATGCATGGCTTAGACTTAATAGTTGGAATGCAAATCACATAAACTGTATGCACTTGACAAATATGAGGGTTTCAGATGGTTGGAGGAAGCTTTGAAACTAGTTTTTGTGTTGGTTGGCACTCATTATTAAGGCGCGTATTTGTAACCTTGAAGGAATTCATGTCCCTTCTGAAATTTGAACCACCTGACTGGCAGAATTGAGTCTGCATCGAACACTAGTTACTAACTAGTATCCAGTATAGTCGTACAGGAGGTCAGTTGTGAGCCTGAATAGCTCAGTGATAACGTCTCTGACTGTAGGACTGTGTGGCGCGTGTTCGAATCTCACGAGGAACATGAGTTGCTTCGAGGATGCAGGCACGCCCTGATGATGAGTGCCAACTAGCCCGAAACCTATGTATAAAGCGTCCTGCTGATTGCCTCCAACCATCTAATAAAATTCTAACAATTCAGAATTCACTGTGATGGCGAGCCACCAGCATGCTGGCTACATTATACACTTGACTGATAGAATTTACTCACTACCAAAGATAAGACTAGATACAGTTAAAAATGTGAAAGTGACAGGGAAGATTCGATGGGATAGGATGAATCACCTTAAACATTTTCATTTTATCCAATGAGTGTCTGTTATCAGTTAAATGCCACAAAGTAGGTTTTCGGATGGCACTTATCCATCCTTCACTCTGACACAATCGGAGCTGTTATTACAGGTGCGATTGGATTGGTGAATTCACATGGATATGGGAAAGTATGCTAGCTTTTGCTCATTTTGAGCTACAATCACTCGCTGACTAGAAAACGGCAGAAAAAAAGTTTTCTGCACAAAATGCTCGCCATAAAATGTCTACTACTCTCCAGAACAAGATTCCACTTGACAAGTCACCATCAAATAAATAATATGGTTTCTCGCGTAGTGTCACCATCTCAGATTTTTTAAGCTAATTTAATCATATATTTCTTTTTAAAACTACAAAGGTATGCCGTCGCCAACATGGAATCACGAGTGTATTCAAATTTGTTCTGTGAATGCTCTTCTGAAAAATTCTTTCTTTTTCTTCAAGCAAAAAATCTAATGGGTATTTCTTCAATACTAAGTTATGCATTTTTATACTTAAACATCCTTGATTCTGAGTTGATGCTCAGTCGTCTATTCACACTCCTACTGACAAACGCATAGCCTTTACTCCATTTCCCCTCTATTGTTTTTTGTTGATGTTAACATTTATGCATATGAAATTTATAACCAGAACAACTAAAAATTCATTTTATGCATTAATCATGAGAATTCTCTTGTATACATTTATCATTCTCATTCATTATGCACCGTTGACTTTTATGCTGTATTCATGCATCGTCTCAGATACGCATGTTTCGAACTGTAATCTAGTAAGCGCTAGCTCATATACACAGAGTTTTTCATTAGAATAGTTTAATGTTACCAGGAGTATTTGTTGGATTATTAACCATAATCTCTTTTGAGCAGTGTAGATATACAGCTGTGGGAAAAGTTATCGTAAAGAATACTGCTTGTTCGCTTTTTATTTTCTTAATATAGACAGTTACATTCGAAAAATCAACATCTCACTGCATGTACTCCCCAATTAACTATCATCGATTCAGTCCTGAATGACGACAGTAAGGAAGATAAAATCCTTCATTAAGTAGTTTAGATTTATTGATAAATAAAATTGATACTTTGTCAAACTTTAAATATATGTGCATATCATTGTTCTCTTTAGCTCTTACAGGGACATAAGGCTTCAGCCGCACATCTACATTGCGTTTGGTTCTTCTTATTTTTAGGAAATCAGACACGTATCATCGGCGAAGTCCAGATAATCCAAGATTTTTGTGTGGGTCCATTTTAGGTCTTTTTTCTCACTGCCCACATCTGTCTGTCGCATTATCACGTCTGCCGGCCAGAATCAGGAAAATTATTGAAGATAGTTGGCAGCCAGCCTTGTCTTACTCACGTCTTCACTTCGAAGGATTCCATGAGTTTCCTGATGTGCATTACTTAGCAGGCAGCATTGCCGTACAACTGCTGGATGGAATGTATAATTGTTGGCAGCGCCCCGTAGTAGTGAAGTAGTTTTCAAATAACCTCCCTATCGACGCTGTCGAAGGCGTTTTCAAAGTCGATGAAGTTGAGATAAAAAGGTAACTGTTATTCTAAGCTCTGTTCAATGAAGATCCGTAGTGTTGCGATTTGATCGATGCATGACTTGTTCTATGTCTTTTACTTTCCACTACGCGAAGATCATTGGAATAAACGTTAACGCAACTTAATTGTGGCACAGTGGTTAGGACTCTCGCCGACCATGCACATAGTCCGTGGTTCGATCGCCTGCAGACACACACCTGATATCTATGGTTGACCTGAGTAATTTGGGCTACCGATATCTCATGCTGAAAATTTCATATCTGCACCAAAAATACGGTGTGGAATCAAGCTGTAACCAAAAAACCAAAAAAAAGATTCTTTTGTTAAAATAGAGGAAAATTTAGGAACACAACTCACCTTACAAAATATAGAGACTGCAGCCAATCCATTTGGTTTAGAAAGAGCACTGGAATAATTTGGATATAAGTCAAAGTTGAATGCATACAACTGCAACTGAAAATAGAAAGAAATAGGGCAAACAAAGCATTAGAATCATTACAACCACTTTCATTATGTATAACAACTAGAATAAAAACAGTAAGTGATCAGGTTGAAACTCTTCTCTAAATACTCACACAGACAGTGTTGACAAAATTTCAGGCGAAGATGAGCAAACTTAATGCACATTTCTCTTCTGTACACACACTTCAGTTTCTGATGCTCTTATCTCGAGAGATAAAAGAAATATTCGCTTTCGACTTGATGCCGTTCTAAGAATGGAACATATCACCGTAAAATAATGCCTTGGTAGAAGTTAAAGTCGCAGACATATATTGGAAAGATCATCATTAGCGTGTTGTACCTGACTAATTGTACGAGTAATAGTTTGATAAAAACAAAGTCCAGTTTTTCTACTTTCCACTAAGAAAATGTTGTTAACTGTTATATAATTAAGGCAAGTGGCGAGTACCTGAAAAACAGAAACTGATTTATAGCCGCAGCAAGGATTGGAAAGAGACAAGGTTCAAGGTCATTCATAACACCTATGCTTTCGATATTTGTAAACTTAGTGACATCTTTTTACCGGTGAAAATACAGATTTTTTTACAAGAGCGGAATACTCATAAAATGTGTTGGATAGAATATGGTTTAAACCTTTCTATAATGTCATTATACTTTGGTGGCAGACATTACAGTTGATAATGACACTCCTACATTTATTTTACATATAACAATTTTAGAAGTTCTTAAGACAACTTAAACTTTGGCTACTTGTACTCCAAGGCCAATACTTAGTGTGTGCTCTATCCTCGAGCACTTGGTGACCTCAGACCACGTAGCTCCACCAGAGTCGTCTTTCAAGATCATTTACAAGGTGAGGCCAAATAATACAAAGGGCGTCAGGTTTCGGCTTTTGTGTATGACGGAGGTGCTGACAATTCGTCAATACAACCCTGAACTCTGTATACAGAAAACATTTGTGCAGTCTCTTATTCGACCTAGATCTTAAAATCTTCACTAGTCGTTACCTATAAAAGATTTCGATTTTTTCTTTTCAGTGTTACTTTTAGTTTGCTTTTGCTTTAATAATTAATCCACTGTTATCACTCTCATATGTTTCTTTTATGCATTCTCGCGCCCTCTTCACACTTGTTAAATTGACACTCAACTACCTTTATTCTCACGTAATACCAATTTTAACCTTATCAAATTTCTATCTTTGTACCATTGAGTACCACGTAATTTTAATTTTTCACTTCTAAAGCCACTTCCGAGTAATTATATCAATTATGTCACCCCTATAACTCACTAATATACTAATATACATTTTTGGTAAATATAAATACGACTGCACAGCCTCTGAAGATGATTTCGTTGGTAAAGAAAATTTCCCTCTCTGAATTTATCTTTTATTTTCTTTGAAAAATTATCCACTGTTTCCATATTGTTTAATCGACACATTTTATCAATTTAACTTATATTCAAATGGATAACTTGATAAAAACAATCAACCAAAGAGTCTCCTCACCACAGATTTTCGTTCTTAAACAATGAAATATGAAGTGAAGATGTGGTGAGAGCAGGCTGCTAGCCGATTGGTTGGCACTAATCTACGTTAAGGTCTAGGTCACTAATATGGGCCGTGAGAAAATATGAACAAGCCTGAGTCAACAACCAATCACAGCAAAGTTAACGTGGCAGAATATGATTCGCAGAGAGAACTCTATTTGTCAAGGAATCCCGAAACAACCAATCAGAAGCCTGCGTTTGTCTACCTAAACAACCAATCAGATGACTGCGCTTGTCTATAATAATGTAGTTGAAAGATGTATAAATACGTGTTGATTTTCGTAATAAAACGATCTGTTGCCTGGCCCTTGTCTTCTGTTGTTACATTTGGTGTCGCTGCCTACCGACAAATGAAAAGCCTATACCCTGCAGTTTTTGATGGAGACATATGGATCTTCGGGCAGGACTTCAAGGCTTCTGCGCAGTTGAGTGGCGTTCAAGATCTGTCAGCGATGGAGCTGCTACTTGAGACGCTGCTGGGAGGTCGGGCGAAAGCAGCATATGAAGGTGTGGGCCGAAGTATGGACGAATGTTCGACAGGGTCAGGCAAACAGTTTCCAAAGTGGGAAGGACCATATATGGTCACTTCGAGATGGGGTTACGCAGACACAGTCGCAATGGCGAACAATGAGAGGCGCGTGAACGTCAGCGAGCTCCAGAAATGGATACAGCGAGACAAGCCAACGATGACGCCTGCACCAAGTAGATCAAGCCGACTTCAGTCGCACGTATTTGACGGGGGGACGAGTGTGGTGAGAGCAGGCTGCTAGCCGATTGGTTGGCACTAATCTACGTTAAGGTCTAGGTCACTAATATGGGCCGTGAGAAAATATGAACAAGCCTGAGTCAACAACCAATCACAGCAAAGTTAACGTGGCAGAATATGATTCGCAGAGAGAACTCTATTTGTCAAGGAATCCCGAAACAACCAATCAGAAGCCTGCGTTTGTCTACCTAAACAACCAATCAGATGACTGCGCTTGTCTATAATAATGTAGTTGAAAGATGTATAAATACGTGTTGATTTTCGTAATAAAACGATCTGTTGCCTGGCCCTTGTCTTCTGTTGTTACAAAGATGCGTTATTTGCAAGTGAAAGTCATGAAAAATCTGGAATAATAGGAAGGTTTCAAAAATTTATGACTTCTGTTGATCTGAGGATAGTGGTAAACCATAACAGTTACCGCATTCAATTTCAAACTATAGCAATGAACTGAGACGACATATATATATAACTATTAAAATATATCCGTAAACTATAACACTACAAAATAATTGTGTTACAAATCATTGTTTTATTTAGCTTGTAAATGAATAAAGCTAGCAAATTTTGTCCTATATTTCTTTTATTTTTATCACTAATTTTCAAGCATACATAACACGACCCAAATCATTTCTCTTACTACCAGAAATTACGTCTCAAAAAATTTAATATTGTGATGAACTTTAGAAACACAAACTAAGCCAATCAACAAACATATGAATGACGATGGCGAAGTTAAACTTTAAGCACCACCAACTACCAGTCAGCGAATGACCCCGAATGTTCCCATACACGTGAGTTCAAGGTTATATAGCGCTTGATTCATATCAAACGAAGTTACGCTTGCAGTTCGATGAGGATCAGGTTTCGCAGTATTGCTTGGATTTAGGAGAGACATCGCCTCATGGAAAATGGAGAGAATTACTTCGTTGTTAGGCGGAGAAAGTATCGTCGTATACATGAACGAAGCTGTGTTACTGAAGAAAAAATACAACCGTGGTCGTGAGCGGGCCAACAACGTTTGGGTAATCGGTTTACATGAAACCTTCCTGCGCAAAGGATTCATGGAGAGAATACCAGACAGAAAGTCTACTACCTTTATTACCTATTGTCACTCGACTTGTGAAACAGGGATCCATTGTACATACTGATGAATGGAAAGGCTATAACTTGCTGTCATCTCTTGGATATGTTCATCACAGAGTAAACCAATCTAGGGATTTTGTGGATCCAATTACAGAGACACACATGAATTTTAAAGAAGGAGTTTGCAGAAGATTAACAATATGATTAGAGCTACAAATTGATCTCATTTATAGTCATTTGGATGAATATATGTAAAGAATGTGGTGTAACTTTTCTATTGACTGTTCTATGCTAAGGTGTTTCTGTCACATGTTAGTGAAAGATACCCTATGTATCAGTTTTATGCAGTTTTTGTGCTTTTTTCCATAAGTACACGTTTTCCTTAATCAAAAGTCCCACTTTCTCGTGATTGGTCCGTTGAAGGTCGTTCGCTGATTCATAGTCAATTGTCCTTAAAGTTTAACTTTGCCGCGACAATAAGTGCATAATTAGACTTATACAGAAGTACTGTGAAAATGAGAGCACAGAGTCCTAACAAAAACAAACTAATTTTTCTGAGATTAAAATTTAGAAATAATGAAGGTGAATAGAGGATTAGACAGCGGATATAAATTGAAACACCGAGGATATGTTGAGTCTCTAGACTTGATCTGCAGCATTAAAAGTGTACTTAGTTACTTAGTAAAATATAGACACATTATGAACTCCTACTAACACAAAACTGTGTTTAGCAATACTCACGTACTACTTGAAGGTGGCTTATAAGAACAGAAGGACATTTACGCTAAAGTTGTCCAACAGGTTCCGAAACGCCTGTGCCTCAGGGAACCCACTTTAATACTAAGTCTCATTTTTATTCCTTCACGTTCCCAGTGGAACATAGAGATTCAAGCTAGAGCCAGCTTGAAGTTTCTGTAGCAGTGGTGGTTATTTTTACAGGATGGGGTTGCTAGCCTCATGCCCAACCTTTCCTCTTTACCAACTTTATTATTGGCTTAGAGAGATAAAGGCGTACGTCTTGCCACCCATCTTATATATATGTAACCAGTCAGACACACCAAAATCGCTCAAAAGGGCGATGAAAAGCTTTTTATGAATGATATTTGCTAATGAATTCGACAGTCATTGAATAAAGTCTGAGTTCCGGTTTCAAGTGGAGGCATTTAGCACTTTTCTACTAAATTTGAAATTACTGGCTGTTGTATCCTACCTGTTCAAAATTTCGAATCTCATACTGTTGATATTGTTTTTTCCTTTATTCATCAAAATTCACATTTATTTTCATTTTTCTTCGTACTCTTTGATGTTCGTTTATTAGTGAGTTGATTATCACTTATCTTGCCTGACCTCTTCAGTTTTAATGATCATTTTTATGATTACGTGACCACTTCTACCCTTAAATCGGTGAAAATGTGTCCCTTTGTAATATAAAAAAATACCTAGGCCATAATTCTCCTTACTTCCTGTACACTGAAGACACTGCGCCTATCTTCATTCTACCCTTCTAAAATGAAATGATAATCAAATTCTGTAGTGAAAAAACTACATCATGTTATATCCAGGAATTCACTTTTATGTTGGCTACAGTAATCCTATGAAGTAACGAAAATTCTACCCTTCTTTCAAGGACTTTTTTAGCATTGCTTTTTTAGCTTACAGGCCAAGTTAAACGCTAAAAGTAAGTGCGACCAAACCTTTGGTATCGCCTTGTAAAAAGTTTGAAATCTGATACAGAACCACATAATGTGAAAGCACATTAATCTTTAGAATGTCCATATATGAACAAACTTTGCCTTCCGCAAATGTGAAGTAAGTCTACTTGGTGTACGGGCAGGGCAATAAGAAAAAGGGAGCAGACCACTAGTAGTATGTGATTCGAATATATCAATCTTTAGAAATTAACAGAGAAATTCAAATAGGTATAGCTACATTTCATTGAAAGGCAGATAACTGCTTTATTCATAAACGGATGCAAATGAATAACTATTGGAGCTTCATCCTGAGCTGACATTGGTTATAGAACCACTGGAAAACCTGGGAGTATTGGACAGCTGTTTCGTCACACTAGTTTGAGACCCTTCACAGTTCGCACCCACCGGGGTTCGAACCCAGGACCTTCTGGTTACAAGGCGAGCTTGTATACCATTAGGTCACTGGGACGCGATCCAATGGTCCATGGAATCGTATAACCAACCAAGTGCCTACAAACCAATACTTCAATATCGATGAGCTGCTCACTAGCGACTTGCCCTATTCAGGTAGGTAGTTATCTGAGGTTCTAGTGAGAAGTCGTGACCAGTAAGGTGCAGCAGGTCGTGTGTGAGGACAAATACTCGCCGATGAATTGGCAGAAGTTAGGATTCATGGACCTTCGGATCGGGTCCTAGTGGCCTAATGGTCTACGAGCTCGCCCTGTAACCAGAAGGCACTGAGTTCGAACCCCATTGGATGCGAACTGTGAAGGGTCCCAAACTAGTGTAACGAAACAGCTGTCCAGTACTCCCAGGTTTTTCAATGGCTCTCTAACCAATGTCAGCTCAGGATGAAATCCTGTAACCAGTCAAATCTCCACAAACCAACACTTAGCTATCACAGTCTTCGTGACTGTTTATGGGTAAAAAGAAATATTGTTCCACATCTTTTTCATTACTTTGACTGGAGTAACACCCACATATCTCCGGCAGAATTTTAATCACAACGTGAATGGCTGTTTCAGGACACTCTCAGTCTGCACATTTGTTAGTATCTACTGTTGTTGGTGAGGTAGATTATCTCAACAGTTATCGCTTTATCCTTCTTTAGTATACGTTTCCTTCAAATGTGAGACATCCTGTCTTCAAAAACAGAATTCTACTGCTTTCAACATACTTTTCACGGATACCTCAGTTATTTCATTGAAATTACCATTTTAACTATTCTTATTTTTTACTTCGCATATAAAAATATTTGCTCAATTTTTCTTGTGAAAGCTGTTTACATTGAAATGAACTGATACTTTTACACCTGTTTTAGTATCCTTATTATATTTGACTACTTTAGATGAAGCTACTATTCTTGTTCGCGAAGTATAGTGAGCTTGTCAGAATACAGTTATTAACAGAAGTTAAATAAACCTGTTGTGCCAATCTACTGGCTAACACTGTACATTAAGCAACATAATCACTCTGAAGAAGACTGAATAAACACACATAATTAACTTGATGTCATGAAGAAAAATATAATTTGAAAGACAGTTTTCCAACCATTCAAAACAGCTTTTGTTTCCTGAAGTGCAATATAGATACACAAACGGAAAGACTGATGACTGAATCGCTATCTATGGATTTCACCGCCAACAGATTTGCACCAAATTTAACTCTGCACAGCTCTAGACATCATGAGACGTCGTAATGGATACAAAAAACGACTAAATACAATATGACTGCCTTTGTCAATTTGTGAATAAAAAAACACTGGGTATAATCGTGAGTTATAGTTGGTTTGTAGATTAACTTTGCATTTCCCTTTGATTGAATATGTAAGACCGGAATGCTCTTGCTCTCCTGACATGTAGGCTCCTAATACAGGCGCTTCGACGGTGTCTGCGGATTAATATTAAATTATTTCCGGCGATCGTGAGTAGCAGTGTAATCCATGATAAGCATTCCGCCTTATTTGAGATCTTTCAGCTTAATATACATGCATTCCCAGTGAGCGATAGTGTTCCGGCTGGAACGGAAGGCCTATGCCTCTCCTTTCAGACGTGAAAGTATTGTCCACAAGGCCATGAGAGCCACCACAGTTACCTTTACTGCAACAAGTATCAGTTATTATTCGGTTTGCTGTCATGTCGTACTGGATTGAAGGTTCCAATCTCACTGGGAACAGAATCACTACCATGGAATGCAAGTACACTTAGATTAAAAACCTGTGATTGGACGAAATACAACATTCTGAAAAGTACTATTAGTCAGCACGACTCAAAAGAACTTAGTGTGTAATAATATTGTCCAAAAAATATTGTCAATGTTGGAACTTATCATTGTATATGAATACCCATTAATTATATACTCAAATTAATTTCATTTCCTGTTTGTTGAATATTCTAATGTTTTTATCATGTATATACAGATACATATCAAGGATTGTCATTAAAGGAAACTTATGAAAAATTCATGTACTTGACGTTGACGTAGTGGTATAGATCCTACATATATAAGTATAAATGTAAGTATTCATTAGATTGGAATAAAATAACATGCATTTATTTACTTTTGAACGGTTATTATTTATTAATTTATTTGTTGTTTAGATTATATACCCCTGAAAGTAACCCAAACAAATAAAAGAAATTCATAATAATCTTCTGTTCTGAAACGTTTGATTTATTCTGTAGGAATAGATTTTGAGTTAATAACATTGCTTACTGAAGCTTGTGTCCCTCAAGGCGCTGTTCTTTCTCCTTTTCTTTTTTCTTTCTTCTTGCATGACTTGCCTCACTCTGATAAAATTAACTTTGTGAAGTACGCTGATGATTTAACAGTTTCATTGGCTGTTAACTCTCAGCTAGATTGTAATAAAACTAATAGCTTTCTGTCGGGACTCAGCAAATGGTCTGAGTCAAATGGTCTTAAACTGAATCCTTCTAAATGTCAAAATGTTAATTTCAGCTTAAGCTGTAAAAGACACCGTTAAAAGAAGTCATTGATTCTCATGACAGTTGTAAACTTGACGACAATGATATAGGAATCAAATCAGAAATTAAGTATCTTGGACTCATTCTCTCTTCTGATCTCTCCTGGTCTTCCCATGTCTTAACAATCTCCAGCAAAATATTCCGTCTGACATTTTACATTGAGAAGGCACTCCGATATAAGTCAACCTCTCCTCTTACAGTTCATAAACTCTTGCATCCTACCTATTCTTCTTTATTGTCCACCCTTATTCTTTCCTGGTTTGCTTAAAAAGGACTTTGTCACAATTCGTAGAATACTGAAGACTGTCAGTAGGGTGAGTGGTGTCCCAGTGGACCACATAGTTAACGTCGTTGTCGATAGGCATTTGACTTCATGCAATAAATTTGCTAAAGCGATTTTGTCTGACTTGGAGCATCCGCTTTACCCTCAGCTTTCACCTTGCATCTCCTCAGGTAGAACAAGGAGTAACTTCATAAAACTGTATGCTCGCACGTCTAAGTATAAGAATTCTATGATACCGTACTTGGCACGTATTTTATGTGATGAAAATAGTGTCAGGCAAGAATTAACTAACCTTTTTTTCATCTAGTAAATAAACAATTTACTCCATCCATCCTTATATACCTTCAAGTTTTACTTTTATTATTTCTGTTATATTTATGGTCCTGTTACTTCTCTGTTTTACTCTCATAATTGCAAACACCAACTTATCTCCATGACGGGTGTAATCTTTGTTTTTCCCCTCACCATTTCATGTAAAGAGAACGTTATATTCAATATTTTTAAACATTTTAGGATTTCTATACCACATTGCCAATACTGTGTGACACAAGCCAACGGCAATTTTCACTCGTATTATTATTACCTTAGCTGTTATCATTATTATTATTTCCATTTTATATGCTGCATGTTTTTGACACTACCTCTATTGTAAATGTGGAAAATTTTCTGTGTGATTAATTTTATTTATAATTTGAGGAAATTAGATGGAATATTGTGATTAATGCTGAAAATTCCATTCTGTATCACAAGTACTGTTTTTGGAATAAAGTAAATCATCATTATTATTATTAAGAACATAAATATTTAGTACAGTAAACACGATATTTATTTATTTTATCACTGTACATGTTTATATCCATATGCCTTCATGAAACACTGCCAATAAAAATAGTTTAGTTTCGTCATCCTGCACAAAAGTATTTTAAATGTTTCAAAATATGAAACATGTTCTGGTATAAAGAGATGATTGATGCCACTACCATAACAACATAGTGAATCACTCATTATAATAAAGGTTTTTGAATTTCCCAATGAATGAAAAACAAAACGATATTTTGTGTTTACTGACGTTTCGCCATTCAGTGCTAACAGTTTTATCAAAGTATTATTAAACCGGAATTTACAATATATACATATATATATATATATATATATATATATATAACAAAGAATCAGGGGTGAGAAAATACACTTAGGTCAAGTTAAAGGGACATATTGAAAGTCAAAATAACAATGAAGATCATTGAACCAAATATCAAAAGTAATAGTACATATATAAAGTTATATACATCTGTTTTGATATCAAAATGAAGTTTACTAACTTGATCATCGTTCGTTAGTCTGGGGTCATTTTTTGTTGTCAAGTTGGTGAATTCGTAAAGATAGAGAATCTCTATCTAATTGGGTCTATAAAATAAAATGCTTGGAATGTGATGCGATCTACATCGAACAAACATCTCGAGAAATCAAAATCAGAAGAAGTGAACACCGTAGAGCATCTCTCCAACCACTGAGAAATCCAGTTGAACTAGAAAAACTTGAAAAATCATCAGCCATAAGTCTACACTCCATAGAATCAGGCCACAAAATTGATTTTGACAATATTGAAATAATCCAGGAAAACTTCAGAAATCACAAAGAACGTTTAATATCAGAAGCACTCCATATCAAGTGGAATTCAAATTGCCTGAATTGGAATGATGGACTAAAACAGAATCTGACCTGATTACAACACCTCTCTCCCCCATGAAGTGACAAAATCAACACGAATGTGATAATCAAGTTCACCATGTTAACACACACTACTTTTATAATTTTACACACTGACCAAATCCAACAATCTACACTTGATTTTGTTATCTTTACCAATTGATCAACTTGACAACAAAAAATGACCCCAGACTAACGAACGATGATCAAGTTAGTAAACTTCATTTTGATATCAAAACAGATGTACTACTATTTTGATATTTGGTTCAGTGATCTTCATTGTTATTTTGATTTTCAATATGTCCCTTTAACTTGACCTAAGTGTATTTTCTCACCCCTAATTCTTTGTTATATATATATGTATATATTGTAAATTCCGGTTTAATAATACTTTGATAAAACTATTGGCATTAAATAGCGAAACGTCAGTAAACACTAATATCGTTTTGTTTTCATTTATTGGGAAATACAAAATGTCTTGTTTATGATGAATATCATATACCCAATGCCCAAATTTTTTCAAACCGTTAAAAGTGAACTTGTTTCGGACATATATAATAGTGAATCACTTATAATATAATGTGATTTGGTGGACGGTGACTAGCAGCAGAATCCAGGTAGCTCATTTTGTCGTATTCAGGACTAATCATTCGGATGTACCCACATTCCCCAGTGAGTGAGGGAGTAAGTGATTGCGTAAAGGTGTTCCTACTGAGGCTCGAGCCAAATATCCATTGTTTCAAACGCAAAAGCGCTATCCACTAGACCTCTTGGCCCACGAGGGTCATATGTTGTTGAACAACCCTCAGTTATTATTTCACTCGATTTAGATTTGCCCGCTGATTGAATACAACGAAATGTTTGGAGTCTCCTAACATGACAGCTGGATTCCACCGATGGTCACCATCCAAAAAAATTACTTCAATCACATATAATGTTTCATATCTATTCAATTGTTCTTGATTACGGTGCTAATAAATTAGAGAAATAAATATTTTGAAGATTGAAATGGCCAAGCCTGATAATTTCAAACACAAAATTATGAAGATTGTATACTGAACAAAGAATATTCTTTTTGATAACTTCATCATTAGGTTCTACAGCTATATATACATTATATTCAATGAACTAGTGTAATTGACAACATTAATGTTGTTTAAAAAACATCGAATCAATAATAATATCAATGGATTAAAATTCGATTGCATCAGCATAACAATACACTGAATGTCAGAAAAATTAGAAAAGATAATAATAGAAATTCATCAGTTTAAAGTCTCAACTAAACGTCATGGCAGTAGTAGTAGTAGTAGTAGCTGGTCTTGCCCCTTCTGCACTCGTTGTTTCACGAGAATTGTGATAGCCTCTGCTGTTTGGAGTATGCGTTAACTGAATGTTTTTGTCAGTATATATGGTACCTGGTAGATGAGAGAAAAAGACTCGCCAATGCTGGCTTTGTAGCCACTTTGGACCAGGTGTTCTAATATCGAACTGTTGATGCTTCTCACTACACCCCTACTTAGCCACACTGGTAGGTGTTCTCGAGTGAGCACGAAAAATCAAGTTCCTAGGGCAACGGTCAATATAACTCGCTCCCCAAGCGCAGTTGAACTGGTAGATACAATGTGAAGTGGCTAGTCTAGGTACTTCATCTTTCAATCTAGGAGTCACCACTGGTCGTGTAGAAATTAACACTTGTAGATTGCCAGCATTAAAGTTCTTTGAACCGATCTCCTTAACTTCTTTGTAATTATTTCTCTGGGTATATCACCCTTGAATTTCAATCGTATGAATAAAGGCTTCTTGTTTACGGGTAGTGAATAGTCCTTTTCAACTTTCTTAGTCATATGCATCCTGATGAATTAGTCTGGATAGCTACTTTTAATCAAGGTATCATATGCTATCCTTAGTTCATCTTCAGTTGCCTCTTCTGAGCACATAGGTCTAACCCTGCGACTGAGGGTCCTTAACAAATATATTCTTCACAAAGTAGAGAATGACTGTTGATTAAGCATACAATAACATTACTTTTCACGTATACTCTTCCTGTTTTAAAAGAAAGCGTATTTAAAAGTTGCTTCATAAATTTTCAATCATTGAGAACATTAATTGGCATATCAGCAGTCAGAAAAGGGAAATTTCATTCTTATCGGTTTGTTTCTTTTAAAATAATAATGAACTACGTAATCACATCTGATTAAAAACATGCATCATTATATATTTCAAATTAAATGACACAATACCTCAGCTGGGAAAGCAATGCCATCAATCTGATGATCTGAACCACGATTTGACATTGAACCAAATTTAATCAGGGCCCCGAAGAATTTATAATCATATACCAGCGGTCCCCCACTGAATATAACTGATGTTGTAGGATCAATGACTTTCACTTGTAAATCTTGGCCTGTGTTCACTACCTCCACGTCAATCTAAAGGTATGAAATGTTTAAAGTTAATTGCTTTAGGTATTTTAATTGAAATGTTATCGGAGGCTTCTATCAGATAATTCCAATTTTTGTTCTCATCACCTCTCTGTCCTAGAATTTTAAGATTTCCAACGTTTTTACAACGCTGCTTGAATAACTTAAAAGGAAGAAGTTTAAAAAGACTGGGAGAAGTGATCATGTGTCAGTTACGAAGCGTCCTAAAACGAAGCAGGCATTCGAATTTGCTGAAAATATTATTTAGAAGTGTGATAAAAGCTTTGCAAATCACTCATCTGGTCAGCTTGTTTGGTTTAGAAAGTATTACTCGAATTGGTCACAGGATTTCATCATGAGCCGACACAGGTTATAGAACTATTGGAAAACTTGCAGGGAGTACTGGACAGCCAAATGTTTCGTCACATCAGTTTAGGACTGTTCACAGTACTCACCCAGCGCCACGAATCGAACCCAGTGCCTTCTGGTTACAAGGCGAGCTCGTAGACCATTGAGCCACTGGGACCCAATCCAATGGCCCATGAATTACTCGAATTGTCCTAATCAAATAGCACTACTATCTAGAGTTATAAAATTTGCTGACCATATGCATTTACTTTATGTGATTAGCTTTCACACTTATAGCCTAATAACTAGGAACTGTCTCGACATGCTGATGACTTTAAAACTGCTGTACTGTCTCACGGAGACCCATGATTTCTTATTTAACACTGTTTCCAATCGTACAGCTCTCACATAACGTTCTCTTCTTGTTTGATTCTTAATTCTTTCCGAGATGTAGTTATAGATTATCGGTGCTCACTTTCGTTTCAATAAGATTTCTAAATCCAGATGTGCATTTAAATTTATTCAAAAAATAGCAGCTATATACTTCACCGCAAAAGTTTCAAATGGATTACAAAAAATAAAGGGAAACAGTTACTTCAAAACCCTCGGAAAAGATTAATTAATTAAAACTGTCTTTAAACAAAAGAAGTTAAACCAGCCTGTATATCCACCCCCAGTATTTTCAACGGTGTTAAATTTGGATCAAATAGAATTTGGTCTGTGGAGATACTGACTGGGGATTGCATTTTACCCTGATAGCAGGCTGGCCAGACATCATTAGCAATAGCCATAAACGCAGTTTGCCCCCAGTGACTTGGACCTTAACAGAAATAATAAACAAAAATACTATATTGTGAAGATTGAAACTTGAGCAGTTGACATTTTCAAAAAAAACATTATTCTAATTATTAGACTCTTTTTGATTAAAGATTGATGCCACACCGTATTTTCGGTACAAGTACGGAATTTTGACTATGTAATATCGGTAGCCCAAATTTTGCAGGCCGACCATAGATATCAAGTGTGCGTCAGTAGGGGATCGAACCCGGACCATTTGCATGGACAGCGAGAGTCCTAAGCGCTGTGCCACATGATGTACCACTACATGAAGTGCACATCTGAATTAAAAGCGACACTGATGTAGATAACAACAGTCTACACCTTAGAAGTAAAATAAAAACCCTCAAAGATCTATAAATCGCTAAATGAGATGTTCTTCAAGGTAAGGATCTTTTAAAGAGAAGTAGAGGTGGCAGTATAGCAACCATTCTTATTTTGGTAATGAATGTTTCTCATCTACGGATGTACTCAAAGCATTATGAAGTCGTAGAGCATATTCTTCAATTAAGACATACTTGATGAAATTCTATTCAAGCAGGTATTCCTTTAAAGAAGAGTTCTGGTTGACACTGTACACATCACCTTATTGTGGTTTAAAGGCTGCGTTATATAGAACAGTAGCATATCTGAGAACGTTTGGACCATAGTGTCCGATGACTAAACTGCAAATAATATCCTCTGTTCAAATGCCAATTTTATTTTTTTATTTTTGACTACAGCTTGATTCCACATCGTATTTTCGGTACAGGTATGGAATTTTTTCAGTATGTGATATCGGTAACCCAAATTTTGCAAGCCGACCACAGATATCAGGTGTGCGTCGGCAGATGATCAAACCCCGGACCATGTGCATGGTCGGCGAGAGTTCTAACCACTGTGCCACCGACAACCTCAGTGTGAGCTTAAAACGAAACAAAACCATTATGATTCTCCACTGCATGAAATAAATAAGTAAATCCATGCCTAACAGCGTACTTCCAATTCAACGGCCAAATATATGAACAAGTCCAAGGAACACCCATGGGATTACCGATATCAGGTTTGATTGCAGAAGCAGTGAACCAAAGGCTCGAAAACATAACCCTACCAAAGATCAAACCCCAGACATGGATACGTTGTATAGATAACACCTTTGTTATAATCAAACGAATCAAGTTGAATCAAACTCACAACTTAACAAACAACGTCTTCAACGACATCAAATTCACAAGAGAAGAGGAATCTGAGAGCAAAATGCAATTTTCGAACGTCTTAGTCAAGAGAACAACCGCAGGGGAATTAGAAACTCAAGTTTATAGGAAATCAACTCACACAGACCAAATACTGAATTACGACAGCAACAATCCAATAACACACAAAAGGAATTGCATACAAACACTATTCAAGAGGGCAAGGACTCATTGCAGCACTTACACCTTACGGAAAATTGAAGAAAAGTATGTCATGGACGCCTTCCAAATGAATGGATATCCATGGAATTTCATCAAAAGACATATACCCCAAAGCCAACCTATCAAAGCAAAAGCCATCAAGGAAAGCACAAAGGAAATCGCCTTACCATATATAAAGGATATCTCAGAAATCACTACAAGAATCTTCAAACCTTTAGGAATTGACGTCGTACACAAACCAACAAAGTCACTTCACTCAATTCAATGTCAACCAAAAGACTCAACAACGAAAAAGATCTTCAAGTATTGGTTTTTGTAGGGATTTTGTTTGATTGCATGGAGGATTTAATCATGAGCTGACATCAGTTAGAGAACCACTGGAAAACCTGGGAGTACTGGACAGCCGTTTCGTCCTAGTTTGGGATGCTCACTAGTGACTGGCCCTATTCAGGCAGTAAACCTGGGGTTCTAGTGGGAAGCCGTGACCAGTAGGGTACAGCAGGTCGAAGATGAGGCAGTAACTCATCGAAGAAGACATTGCGAAGTGGTCGCACTATGTCGTGAACTGGCAGAAGTTAGAATTCAAGGCCCATTGGATCGGGTCCCAATGGCTCAATGGTCTACGAGCTCGCCTTGTAACCAGAAGGTCCTGGCTTCGAATCCCGGTGGGTGCGTACTGCTGAAGAGTCCCAAACTAGGACGAAACAGCTGTCCAGTACTCCCAGGTTTTCCAGTGGTTCTCTAACTGATGTCAGCTCATGATTAAATCCTCCATGCAACGAAAAAGATGGCGATGACGAAGATATCAATCAACAGAAACAGCAGCGACAACCAGAACCAGTCACCTCCGACGGGGGAAACTTCACCGACGTTACTTCCTTCACTTATCTGACTAGTAAGCATCGTCGCAACCACAGTAGGCAAAACGGATGAAGATGTCAAAGCAGGCCAGAATCGGAAGGGTAAGATACGCCTTCATCAACCTGAAACCACTTTGGAAATCTTCTGCACTCCTTAGTATCAAGAACAAGATTCGGATTCTGTTCAACATCAATTTTAAGACAGTTACTGCTTCTGAACGGGTCAGAAACTTTCATTGATCGTGACAAAAAGAATTCTTCACGGGTTTCAGATTTTTAGCAACAGGTGTAGCCTTCTCTAGTCCCATGCTGGAGAACAAATGACAGGCCAGCCGGCCAGAATTGAATTAGCAACAAAAAACTCTGGCACAAAACCAACCAAGAGCCGATTGCTCATCAAATCTGTAGGGGAAAGTGGAGATGGATCGGGCATCCGTTGAAGAGGCCGTCGAATGACACTGCGCGTAATGCAGGCCATTGCTCGAGTTGAATTCCAATGGGAAGCAATGATGACATAAAGGAAACCGTGCAAGGAGGAGATGACAATTTATGGTCAGTTGTGAACACAGCTGAAGAGGACAGCGGAAAATATAACAAGGTGGAGATGTGTTGTTGAAGTTGTATACTCTAGTTGAATCCCAAGAAAATAATAAATAAATAGCAATTAGCCTGACAAGTTGCTCTGTTTGAAAATATGTGAATCGACAGTCTAGATGATTTTTACGTTATGCATTTCACGAATGCTACCAGATAAATACAAACTTCTGCTCGCTCTTTATTTTTTTTATTCCGCTTCTCTGATAGCGAATTCACATGGGTTAATAAGTATGTGCAAATTACTTCATAATTTTACAAATAAGTCTGTGAATAAAATGAGAAGTGTTGAGTAAAACGTTGTTATGTACCCCAGCTGGCGGCGTATACCAATCTTGATATGCTTTATACACGCGTTGGGAATTGAGAAAAAGAGAAATTTTCTCATTTTCAAATTATGAGTCAAATTTTCTGAGCAATTTCTGTTCGGGAACTGCGCATTACCCAACATACAGCAGTTTCAAATCATCCGTCTGACACACAAAATATAATGCGTAATGAAAATTCGACATTTCTAAATAACATGTTTATCTTGTTGTAATGCTGGAATGTGCTAATTATAAATTTCATAATTATTTGTCATTGTGCACAACAACTTCAATCTGATAAAACAAACGACTGATACAGAAAAGACTGAGTACATCACGAACCAGAGCCTATCCTGCAGCTAAAGTCTCCCCCCCCGTCTATTGAACAACTTTGGTGCTCTTCGGTGCAAATAAAAATCGATAGATATCCTTCTCATGCTAACTCTAATTGGATATACAAATTAACATGTACCTGCGGGAGCAGTTATATTGGAAGAGCAGAAAGAAGGGCATATCTACGAATTTCTGGACACGCACCAAAAAGCCTATGTCTTCAGCTAGGAACAAATGCTTTAGACACTGCTAGGCATCTCCTTGACACGGGTCATCAGGTGGACGTCGCAAGATCGTTCAAAATTATCAATGGGCAAAATAGCTCAATTCTCGTCAAGTTTACTGAAGTCATCTGCATCAAGCGCCTGAAATCTGATTTATACGTTCAGAAAGAAACAGTTGTCAGTCTTTCTTTGCCCTGGTAACTGGATATTTTCATACCTCTTTTATTTGATTGCGTAATGCTAAAAGGTTTCCATTGTGTATGATAATTATTGTTCGCAATAGTGTTTAATGTTATATATATATATACTAATTGACTGGTTTTTGTTTAAAAATGAACTGTGTGCAAGTATGTTGAAATTGTTTCTGTAGGTATATTTAATGATGACTTTGGCATGTAAGCAGATGATGAGAAGCCAACGAAATAAACGATGGTATCATTTTATTTAGCAAAAGCTGTTGTTCTTCCTTTATTCAAAAATAAATAGCTTGAACCTATAATAAAAGTAACACCAATAGCCACATTAGTTGTCAACATTCTCACCAGGTTGGAAACTTAATGGAACTTTTCCACTAAATAAGATTTGAATACGCATCGTTGTTTTATTCTTCAAATAATTTGACTTTTTTGGTGTACTTCAAATTGAAGTATCCACTAAAGATTTTGCCTAGTAGGGGGCAATGAAAGCCTCGCGAATAAGCCATCCATCTCAGAGAATACACAACTACATCAAAGTCATCCACTTGAGCTACAAATCTTCTCTGTTATATCTAAACTTGACTATTGAAACTTATTAGGAAAAAATATTGAATAAGATCAAATTACTTTTCAACAGACATTTAAAGTATCTGTTTGATGTTTTACATTTCAGAAAAGGGGGACGTGACGTATATTTGTCATTTTTGTTTCCTTCACGTTATCAGTGGAACATATGGCTTCAAGCTAGTGGCTTGAAGTTTCCGTAGCAGTGTTTACTTTTACAGGATGGGGTTGCTAGCCTCATGCCCAACATTTCCTCTTTACCAGCATTACTTCTGGTTCAGTGAGGTAAAGGAGTGCGTCGGCCGAGGATCAAGCCCCGGATCATGTGCATGGTCGGCAAGCGTCTTGACCGCAGTGCCGCCGACGCACAATATTTGTCATACTGCTGATGAAATCATACATCATCTCTAAATAAAGTAACAGTTTTTCAAATTATAGAGACTGACTTTGTGATCAACAGAACCTATTTAAACCAAGTTAGAGTATAAACAGCCTGGAATATTAACGCTTCACTTGACCTGAATGCGTTTTAGTCGAGGCTTACAATTATTATAGCGCCATTGTGAAAGCCATTCACGAGTTAGGGTGTAAATTTCATCCCTATCACATTTTTAAGTACTGTTTCGACAGTGTGATCATGTCTCGTTAGGGTTGGGATTAGGGTTATGGTTAGGATAAAGGTTATGATTAGGGTTAGGTTTAAGGTTAGGGACGCAATGAGGGTTAGGTTCAATCTTGATATTATTTATTTTAATTAGTTTTACTATCCATATTTTCCGATCACGTAGTCGTAGATCCTCTTACCAGAAACCATAGTAACTCAATCAACAGCTTCTGGCAGGACTGCGAAACGGGATTAGCGCGATAGTTGGGTCACAAAAAAGCTCATCTTCAGCCACCTCAGTGAATACATGTGCTGAAACGGACCAAGCTTAAAAACTGGTACTCCACATCCTAATTGAGAGCTACTATTATGTCAGAGAAAAGTATCCTGTTTAATGTGTTTTATCATCATGCTGTATATTTCTTTCGTAAATAAATGTCATTTCCTGATTGGCCGACTCAAGGTCATTCATGTGTTTGCATTCCATGGATCGTGATACTGTAACTTTGCCCACATTTTTGTCCTGCTTCCCGCTTTAATCTTTTGAGAATAATCCAAGATAACTACCCATTGTTTTTTTGTTTATTTATTCACGTTCGCAGTAGAACATGGGGCTTCAAGCTAGAGCCAGTTTGAAATTTCGGTAGCCGTGGTAGTTATTTTTACAGGATGTGGTTACTGGCCCAGTGTCCAACGTTTCTTCTTTGCCAGCTTTTTTCTATTACTGGTTTAGCGAGGTAGAGTAGTGTGTCAGCCAAGGATCAAACCCCAGACCATGTGCTTGCCTGGTGAGCGTACTAACCCCTGTGCCACCGACGCTTCCATTGTTTTACACCACATATTTTGTACAACCTTTAACATTTTGCAACTTTCCCACAGTTTATAAATCTCCTTTCACACAAGTGCTGTGGTTTAAAACACCAAGGGCAAAAATATCAAGTCTGTTAGGCTGAACAAAAATCCTTCTCAGCCGTTTTTAAAACATCATTGTTTTCAACTTCACTGTGACAATTATAATAAACTGAATAAGGGTTCTGAGGTTAATTGTATTGAAAACAGTATTTGAGAGTTTTAACTCCGAAGCAATAATGCACAGCTGGACTTCCCAACGGAAACATAAAATTTAATGTATTTCATAGAAACTAACAGCCAAGTTATTCAGCTCTACAAAAGACATTTTCACTTTCATTAATTTGTTCGCACTGTTTTAGTTAGTGTTAACACAACTTTTACCTTCTGATTGGTAAAAGATCATACAAAGTGAAATTGTAGACTGACCTGTAATCAGGAAAATACATAAATCTAGAGACTGCGAAGAAACTTAAAGGTGTAGGAGAAGTTTACCTTATAATATTAAAACTGTCTTCATTTAATAAATTCACATATAAGAAACGTGTACCACCACTTCTGAAATTTATTTTTATTATACAGCTGCTATTCTGTCATCGTTTTAAATTGGTCCTGGCTAACCAGCTTACTAAACCCTGACTGACTTATACTTAAAAGAATCCATAAAAATTTTTTCAAATTAAAAAAATAAATTATAGTATTTTATTTGATAATACTTCATAAAATGTCGTGAAACATTATTTTACACATTAAAGTTGAGGGTTATGCATAAATTTATGTATGTTAGTCAAATTTCATTGAAAACATACCTCCTATGACACCTTCTTTGTAATGCCACCATGCGTCTGAGACGGGACTCAAGTCACTGTCATGCCAAAGACCGTTCATTCTCTCTTAAAATATATATACATTAAAATAAATCCGTGTTATGACTTGTAATTAAAACTTTACACAAATGTGTACGAAATTATTAAATGGTAAAGTGATAAGCTTAAAATCTAAGAAACCAAATATTTCTTGTGATCTTCATAGAGGTGAATGATATTCCACTCCAAACGACAAACGAAGGAAGCAACTATTTTCTTAGCAGTTCAGTGATACTAAGTCCACTTTAACACATTCTTGTATGTATGACTTGTTTCAAACTTCCTCTAGGAACTTGACTTTTGGTGTTCGCCTGGGAACACCTCCCTGTATGGCTAAGTAAAGGTGCAGTGCAAACCATCAACAGTTCTATATTGGACCTTCTGGTACAAACCAGCTACAAAGCCAGCCAGAATTCTAGAATCCTTCTCAATCATCTACCGGGTGCCAAATAAATTGCCAAAAACATCGAAGTACCGCATGGTCCAAACAGCACAGGCTATTGTGAATCGCCTTAAACAAACAGTGCTGTGTGTGCAAAAGAAGCAAGTTCAGCCACTACTACTGCCCTCACCTTAAGTATAGACTATGAATTCATGAATTTGTAATATTATCTTTCCTAATTTTTCTGACATTCAGTTGATTGTTATGTTGATACCGTCGAACTATAATCCATTAATATTATTACTGACTCGATATTAATAAAACAGCATTAATGCTGTTCATAATACCAATTTAGATATGATAGAGACGTCTGTAGCTCAGGTGGATGATTTCGATGTGGTTGTGTTCTCTGAGCTGGATGGTTAATTTGCGAAGCTTTCATCACCCTACTGGGTGACATCTGCAGCGATGCTTCCATTTGAAGTGAGCCTTTAGATTTCTCCACGAGTTTATTAATCATCTCTCCTGGTGACCTTGGACGTGATTGGTTGTTTTTATGTGTTTTCACACCTTCTAGGCTACTTGTATTGGAACTGATTATTTCTTTGACTTGAACTTTGACCCTTTGTGTGTGAAGTTCCTTTCTTATCGGTTGATAAATTTTGTCTATCTCTATGCGTCTATTGTTTGAGGATTCACTGGAATGCCAGGCTGGCTTCTAAAAATTCTCTAGCATTCCTGTTGTTTCCTCTGTCTAATATTTGAACGTTGTCTCAGTCGAACTTAGTAAACAACATCTTCAACGACATCGAATTCACAATTCAGTATCCACTCTTTTCAAGTACAAACAGTTTGAGGCAATTTTGGATATGCTTGCGAAAGAATGGAAATCAGACATTTTGTCATTCAGTAATTCATGTCCTTCTATTATTAATACCACCTTCACACGCACTGAGTGCTATATCATAGCCATAATGAAGTAACTCATTACACTTTTGTCAGGTTTTCCTTTTACTGTGATTAGATCCTCAATAAATGTGTCAGTCATAAATTGTTTTCGACAACAATAACAGCAACAATAACAAAGTACTTTACTTGTTACTTCTTTTTTCTCCACATCTTTGCTCTGTACACGTTTTTGTACTCCCTGTTGTGTATCATCACTAGAATTCTTTTCCATGCATTGTTCTTACATCCACACTGTGTTTTTGTCTCGTAAAGGTGTAAACAATTATTCATAAATGTGTTGTGTTGTGTAGTGTAGTCAGCACACGGAGGTAGAATTTATGGATGTGCAGACAAATTCTAGAAAAATAGCACAGTCTTATAATATAGTCTCGAAAAATACCCATTTATTCATTAGTGAAAACACTGTTTTTGTTCAGCGAAGAAATTTCTTTTCAACGACTTCATTTTCAAGCTGTACAGTCGTATTTATATTACAGAAAAAGGTTATTAACTGGCACTAAATAATTGCTCAGTCAATGTACGTATATGTGATAAAAGTTATAAGGGGTAGAGTTGAAGTAGATAAATTACAAAAATATGAAAGATTGTTCTATAACAAAAATGTCAAGTGTTGTCTAAAAAATTATGATAATTAGGAGTACGATTACGATAAGAATGAAGATGTGAAGTGAAGTGGAAAGAATTCAAGTGGTAAAATAAAATAAAAACTAGAAAGAAAATTATTATGACCAAGGTAAAGAAAGGGGTTTGACATAATAATAATTATAATATAGTGACCAGACGTTATTACCACAAGGTTTTCTGCTTCTTATTACTGTCTAGTGCGTTGTCTTCCATTCGGTATTCACTCGCTACCGAATGTTGCACTGCAGTTTTCAAAGTCAACAGTAAAAACTAATTTTAAGAAAAGGATTATTGAGGATTTCTTCATGATTGTATGGAGGATTTCATTAAACGAAATCCCTAGAAAACCAGTATTTGAAAATTAATCTGATGCTCACTAGCGACTGGCCCTATTCAGGCAGTGACCTGAAGTTCTAGTGGGGACCCGTGACCAAAAGGGTGCAGCAGGTCGAAGATGAGGCAGTAACTCATCGAAAAAGACATTGCGAAATGGTCGCACTATGTCCTGAATCGGCATAGGTTAAAATTCAGGAACCATTGGTTTGGGTCCCAGTGGTTCAATGGTCTACGAGCTCGCTTTGTAACCAGAAGGTCCTGGATTCAAACCCCGGTAGGTGCGCACTGTTGAAGACACTCGAAATAGAACGAAACAGCTGTCCAATGCTTCCAGGTTTTCCAGTGGTTCTCTAACTGATGTCAGTTCATGATGATTTCCTCCATACAGTCAAACAAAATTCCCTACAAAACCAATGCTTAAAAGGATTATTGTTGTTGTGAAAAGTAAATCAACAACCACACAGAATCATGATTAGTTATTCTTCTGAATCCCGCCTACAGTTTATCCTCTTTCAAATAAAATCTATTTAATGAGTATAAAAATTGGTTAGTTTTAGTTTTAAGACGAAATAATTTTGACGAGTTTCCGTATTCACCTGCCTTTTTTAACAAAGAAACTTTCATTGCCTAGTCGAAACCATCTGAGAGTTTCTACTTAAAAACGCGACAAACTTTTACCACAAAATAGGCGTCTATTTCAAATAACAATACTGTTATATACTATGTGTGTGTGTTCACCTTTTTATATTTGTGTCGACACCAGAAGCATTTTTATGATAACATAAAACCACCTAACCTTCGATACATTTCAGCAAAAATATAGGCTGAAGAAGGAATTTATCTCACGGCTTTTAACAGAAAGTGTCCTTAAAAAACTTGGAAGTAAATTTATAACTTAATTTAAACAAATATGTCTCCATGTTGTTCCTGTTCACATTTATAATTCGTTTAAAATAACTAATTTACAATTATATCTTAATCCTGTGGAATTTTTGGGTTTCTAAGGCTCTTGTAATTTATATTCACACCTCCTAACTTCCATTTCAATTTGAAAATTATTATTTCAAGTTTGTTTCCATACTCATTATTCCACACTTCTTATCTGTTCTAATCCTCTGTAATTTTGTTTCTAACGCCTCCCGTAAACCATATCTAGTTGAAAATAATTATCACCTTTTGTTCGCCGCCGTAATTATTGTGGAATCAAACAGGAATTATGTATTTAAATGCGATTGTACAGCTGCTTTTGAAAACGAAATCGCCAAAAAGATATCTTTGCTGAACTTCGTGTTCTCTTGTTTCAAATATGACTAACACATCCATTTGACCTGTACTGTATGAAGAAGTGAAATAGATTAGGATAAACTATATCATGCTATCAGTTCAAGGAAGCTGATGCCATGGTTTCAGAATATACATTTAGTAACAAAATTTGTTCTATGTGGACAATAAGCAACAACCCACAGGTCTTTTTACTTTGTTACTTGATGTTGACTTCACTCCATTAAACAAATAGTCTGCATACTCAGGTGTTTCATTTAGTTTTTGAGAGAGATAAAACCGCATACTTAAAAAGTACAAAAATGTTGTTTCTAAAATGCGTCTGTTGCATAAGATGGATTGGCTCACATACTTATTACAACAGCACTGAAGGGACGGTAGAACCATCGAAGTGGTTTGCAATTAATATATGTGTAAAACTTGAGCAATGTGGTAGTAAGTAATTCCATATTGGTTTGTTTATTAGATATATCATACACTGAAACGGTACTATTTACTGGATTACAAGGTTTCGAACAAAATTTATTGCGGTTCACAATCATATCACAAGACTTTGTAACTTGAGTTTTATAGTTTTCTTTGTTTTCTCCTATTTGTTGTTGTTGAGGGAGTGGAATTTTCCAGATATCTAAGTGGACAGGTGGTGAATCACTCCTATTACACGTGTTTGCGGTTGATGCGATAAACAAAGCTTCTGTTATCAATCTCTCCCTCCACCCTGTGACATTAGATTTTAAAACTGTCATCTTATCCCATCCTATTGTATGGTTGTGTTTAATTGCATACAGTGAGTAGTATAGTTCAACTATTCTCTAGATTTCTTATCTTATTTGGGTTAACTAATCTAGATTTAGCTAGGTTTTTATGTTCGGCTAGTCTTACTGCACCTATTCTACTACTTTGGCCCATGTACTTAACCTGACAATCAATGCCGGTGGGGTATTAGACAAACTGAATTGTTCTGTTTTAAAGGCTCCACAGTATCCTTTAACCGACAAAGCTTGTTTCTAACTGAGTTTTTAGGTAGTTTCAATGCCACTTTTATTCCTGCCTTGTTAAGAATTCTGAGTAATTACGCAGTTTTAAAATCTAATCTCATAGGGCGGAGGGAGAGACTGATAACAGAAGCTTTGTTTATCAAATCAACCGCAAACACGTGTAATAGAAATGATTCAACACCTTCCCCAGACGGATATCTGAAAAATTCTACTTCCCCAACAACAATTGATACGATTATGAGCAATGAATTTTCCTCGAAACTTCATCCAGTAAATAATACTGTTTCACTGCGTGATACATCTAACAAACAAACCAATATGGGTTGCAATCGACACAGAATTAACTGAAATTTCTCCGAAGTTCCGTCTAGAAACAGAAACCATCTAATTTGCAATGTGTGGTCTGCCTTATATCACAGACGGTATTCAAAAAAGGC